TAGATTTCACAGCAGAAGAAAAAGGGGGTGATGGAGGTGGAGAGCAAGATGGGGACAGCGTGTACGTTTAGCACGAAAATGAACACATTGCTTTCATATGTATTTGAATTCGCATGAGATTCTTTAGTTATTTGTATTCTCTTTATTGTTGTTTAATAAAAGCTGATAATACTATCGTCAATGTCATTGTTATTGATTCTTATATTATTATTATTATTCTTGTTTTGCTCTTTCTTCCTCTTTGCTGTCCAACGTGGTATTTTTTTTATCTCTCTTCCTTTTCATATTACACATATAAATCCAGCCTTGAAGATGCTGCACTCCGCAGACAACAGCAATAAACCTTGGCTTTAACATTCAACACGAGATCCAGAACGTCTACACATTTCTCTGGTGATACGAGCTTTTTCCCATGTCGGGTCATCAGTTTGTCCTGCTTATCTAGTAGCTTGTTGCAGGGTGGGCATTTTGACAAAATCTAGACATTGTTTCAGAGTTTTTTATGTCCCAATTGCACAAGCCACGGCAGTTGCATATACGATGGGCGGCACTCTGCATATTAGCAACTTGCAATGCAGTGATGGCTGTGTGATGGGACCGGGAGCAGCGTAACACCTGATACAGCACGGAGGCATGAAGAGGTTGCAAAGGTTGGGCGGTAGTAACATGTCCTAAAGCTCGTGCACGGTATTAACTCTTCCAACATCTTAAGACAAACTCAGCCCTTTTTTTTTTTGGTGGTGAAAGGGGGACCATGTACTCTCTCCTTTTTTTTTTTGTTTGCTCCTTATAAGTTAGTAAGTAATCAGTGGAAAGAAATAAATACGGAGAGAGCGAAAGGAGATGTGCAGGATTAGCTGATTTTGCTTTTCTTGCTGAGGCGAGCAGGATTCTAGAATAGGTGCTATGTATCATGATTGATGAACTCATCGTGGGGCCGCTGCAAGGGGGCCAAAACTGATGACAGCTACTACTGCGACAGATAGTAGGTACGAGGAAAGTCAAGGAACGGAGAGAAAAAGGATGGACGTGCGCACAGGGATTGTGAATGATGAGAATTAATTAAAAGGTTGCATGCACAAGAAGTAATAGGGCTTGTTTGTCCAAATGCAGGGAATAAGTGAGATGTTGGTTATGTGCAGTCTTTTTTTTCTTCCATGTCCTTCTTTCTGTGCTTTGTACAGAAATAGAAAACAAGGGTCCAGGTCCCGGTCCGGGTCCTGGGTGGTAGTAAATGTACAAGTATTGGGGATTTTGACAAGCTTCTACCAGGCATATACATGTATGTGCATGTATGAAGATACAGGGATTGGGGGAAAAGCACGAGGATTGAAATTAAAGATATTCGGTGAACCGCGGAGGAGGATGCGCGGGTTCGGAGAACTAACCTTATTCTTACATAACTTTCATAGCCTCATGCAGGAAGAAAGGGAATAAGAAGCAGGCTGACAGTAATATAGCACTTGAACTTTTGGGGTTTTTTTATGAAACTGCTACTGGCAAGCCAAATCCTACGTGTATGTCGTCTAATACCTTTTACTGGAAGTGGCAAATGCTGCTAGATACTGCTGGTGGTGTCGAGGCTCGCTGAGTATGCAGTAAAAGCACTTTACAACTCCTTGGTTGGTTGGTTGGTAGGTACACGCCTAAGCTGCATACAAGTGCTACTCATCCTCTTACAGCCAGCGGCAAGCAAGGATGACATTGAATGCCCTGCATGGGTTCGTGCTCTGACAAGGGGCACTGCCGGCAGACAGTTTGATCGTTTCTTCCCTTTTCCCTTTTCTGTCTCCTCCTGATCAGAATCACGAGCACATTGGAATGCGAAAGCCTGGAAAATCGCCGTTTCAATAGCGCCAGGAGCCAGAGAGGGAGAGACAGAGAGAGGCTCGGTCTGAGACCGTCTTCAGGGACAAACTTGTCTGATGTTTCAAACCCGAGCAAAGAGACTAGTAGAAACACCATTCCCCTCTCCTCAGGCTTCTTCTCGAGGAACGGGATCGGGATCGTCGGAAGGGTGCCAGCTGGTGGCACAGCGTCTCCGTCCAGACAATCATGGGAGTCTAAAAAAGGGAACAGAGTGCATACAAAGTGCGACTGTACAGCAAGAGAGAGCGAGATGCTGGCCCATGGAATGGAGGGGCCGCAAAAAGACCAGGGCCGGGATCCGCGCTCAGACCAGCAGCTGACGCGTAGAGTGGTTAATTACCAAAGAAAAGGCCTTTTGCCTTCTTTTGCTCTTCGTTTTGCAGCTTGCCAGCTGCTCTCTTTATCGATTGCGTAAAGCGTCTGCTCCGTCCAACGCCAAGCGTCAATGCGAGAGGCTGCTACGGAGGATTAGTCGATGGCTAGAAGCAAATAGCAGAGCCAGTAGTCGGCAATAGCTGGCGGTAGTCCGTCATGCTTCGCCTAGCGTGTTTGAAGTAAATTGCTGCCAGCTCAGCACGACACCAGGAGCCGCATTGTGGTACGATCTTGGTGATTGCGCAAAGGCGAAACTCGGGAGGAGACGAGAGATCGAGAAATGGAGGCATCGGGACGGGTCTCTGGGCTTGAAGGAACGCTCTCTGCTAGTGGCCATGTCAGTAAACTAGGGGAAATTAGCTGTGACGCCGGGTCTGCGTCATGGAAAGCCAGATCGCCGTCGACCATTGCCCCAAGCGGGTGGCCCTCCTGGAAGCGCTGCCTCTTCAGCTTCAGCCTTCTAGCTGCCGCTTCGGTCCTAATCCGCCAGTGCTATCGCGATAGAGACGCTGGATGCGAGCTCTCGGAGGCTAAAGAGCAGCGGGCGCCACTAGTGGTCAATTGGAGAGCTGTGATTGGACAGACACGCGACAACAGTAAACAAGGGGGGCAAGACGCGTCTTGAGTTCGGTATGACGCGTTTTTTCTAGCGACCATCCCACTTCACTTGGACTTATAAGCCCGAGTAAGACTCACCACAGCTGAGCGAAGAGCGAGAGAAGATAGTGAGAGAGTGAGTTGAGGGCGGCCCAAGATGTCATACTGTACATTCTCGTTGGGCTGCAGTGGAACCGCCATGTCTTGTCGATTCCCTGCCGCGGCCAATCAGCGTCGCGTCTGTGCCGGCTCCCCTCGTCTGCATCCCTCCATGGCCGTTTTGTGCTCAGACAATGCCCTTCACATGCCTCTGCTGGCCGGGGTGCGTGTCCCAAGCAGGCGAATCAGGGACAGGGTTGCGACCGAATTCGCGGAGAGCCTATCGCTGCGTATCACCGGGCCCCATTTGCGGTCTCCGTGCTGGACCGGGCTGCCTGAGCGGGTGCTGTGGATGGACTCAAGAACCAATTGCCCTTGAGAGCGGCAATCAGCTGAGAGGGCTACGCGTTGTTGTACTCCATAATTCAAGTCGCGTATGCTGTCAGATGGTGGTCATCTGAGTTTCTGTATATCCGTATAACACGGAGAAGCAGCAGCAGAAATACAAGTAGTATTGACGTGACATGGGTTGAAGCTGTTTATAGAAACAACCAGGTTGAAGACGAGATAAAAAATGGAGAGAGTGTGAGCAATGCGTGGGGGAGACCTTTCGTGAAGATGGTAATGGAGGGGGGGGCAAGGGGTATAGAGGGGGAGAGGGCGATATAGAACTAGGTGTTATGGAGGGGTCAATATTGGAGGAGGGGGAGAGAGAGAAGAAAGGGAAAAGGGAACAAGAGTCAAAAGGGCAGCAGAAACATGAAGAGAAACTGGGCCAGGGCAGGATAGAGTTTGCGTTTGAAACGCAGCAGAATCGACAGCGGCCGGCGGTACCTGCTTTTCGGCAAACTCTCTTTAAGCTCGCCGCTGTGGCTTGGGCGGTTTTGAGACATCTGACGGATTCCATTGACGACGGCACTAGAGGCACGATGAAGAAAACTCTGTCTCGAGCGTTGTACGTAAATGGGTCATCTGGGCTGATGTTTTAGCCATGGCCATTGAGGCGATGACGGATGGTTGACGGGTTAGGAAGAGGCTAAGTATTTAGTTGAAGAAAGAAGAGCAACGACGGATGAACCATGATTGGCATGTTCGGCATGTCCGTTCCTCGTTCTTCCGGGCTTGGTATCGAGAGAAGTGGTATCAGATGCGCTCCTCCATGAACTATTATAGTAGCACAGTAGTTCGTCTTGTGCGACTCGATCGCCATGCGGTAGTGGTCGGTATTGGTTAATGGGGTCATTGGATTTATTGGAGCAGCCAGTTAGTACTATTCTGGCAAGTGTTTGGATAGTCTAATGCGCCACTCTGATATTCCCTTCCATTGATACTTGAAGTAGCACCAACTCCCACTAGGTATTTTCTTCCAGCTCCGAATTGGCGGTTGGTGTGTGGTGGGATTATCGTAGACTCCATATGCCATTTTCCTGATGGATTCAGTATTTACATTGTACATTGTAGATACCTATGCCCCATACCACTGCTACCTCATCCAACACGTCCATGCGCATGCATCCTCGGCCGCGGGTGGGAAATCAATGCAGTAGTGCTCCGTAAAACTGGACCAGACAACTCAACGCTCGCCAATTGCTGCGCTCATCGCCCGCGCATGCTTGCATGCATCATGCAGGCCAATGCCCAGTAGAAGAGCTCCGTCTCTTGTTTATCGATGCAGGTGGGATTCGTGATGCGATGATGGGCTCCAGCAGGTCGCATGGCAACCGTAATGGTGTTGTCGTGATGGCGATGGCGATGGCGATGGCGAATAATAAGGAGTTCTGGGCGCGGATGCATTCAAAAGGGACGTATCTCTCACCTTGCGTCCCGTCTCTTGCATCCCGTCTCTTGCATCCCGTCTCTTGTATCCCATCCCATCTCTCAGGTCCCGTCTCCGAGTCTCTCGCACACGCAGTGTCACTACTTGTATACCTACCTATTGCACTAGATACAAGCCGGTGACCCTCACACTCGCACATCTCACATTGAACCCTGCCTAGCCATCCATCCATCCACGACCACTTTTAGTATCAATACATAGCACAAACCATACTAGCACATCCATGTACGTATTACTGCTGCTGCTGCTGCTGCTGCTGCTGCCGCTGCCACTACCTGTTGTTACTTGCTGCGGCCTTGCTCTGTATGCCTGGCATCCCACCCGGCCAAAGATGCTGGTTTGCATCGCACCGCACCACGTACATGGCATCACCCGAATCTACCGGCACTTTACTTACATGCTTCTGGCGCATGTAATGCAGTCCGCACTTACAGGCTCCCTGCTCCGCTCTGGCACAGCCCTAGTCGATTCGAGACAGCGCCCATCGATCGATCGTCGAGCACGCAGAAAGGCACTGCTGCACGCAAAAAAAAGGTCGAAAAGCGCCGTCCGTTGCATTTCTGCATAGCAGTCCCCAAGACACGCCCCCCTTTGGCTCGCCTCTTCGCACAATCGGAGAATCCCTTTTGCGACAGAGAAGAGAGAAGAAGAGCCTCCATCCCTTGGCCTTTTGCCGAGAACGCGCGCGACACGCCCTCCAGAGTCCAGCCCGTTCCGTGTCAAGGAGGGGCTCTTGACTCTTCAACCACTCAGACGGCGACGGCTGCCACCCTCACCCTCACGTTTGTGCTTTAGACCTGCGCCGGTACCTGTCTTGTACAGTACCTGCCCTTGCAGCATTGCTCGGTGTCTCTTGCTGCGAGACTTGCCCCTCCCTGCGACTGCTGCCCATTGTCGCTACTGCGAGGTACCGCTGACTACCCAGGGCACCTCCTGCTGCAGCCCATCGCACCACTCGACCGCAGGCCTTCATCGCCATCTGCAAATCCTCCTCCGCCAACTTCACCTCCATCACCGAAATCCAGTCCGCCCCGGGTACAGGCTGCCGCTGGCCACTTCGGGCGTAGTGCGCTCTGCTAGTTCCGGGCTGGAGAAGCAAGATTTCTGCACTGCAAACCCCTGCCCTGGTCGCTCGTGTCAGCCCAGACGGCGCTGCAGCCAATCCGCTGCGCGGCGCATCCCTGACGCGCTGCCAGGGATCCCCCCTGGTCGACGATCCACTCGGGCCTGTCCAAGGCTCCCAGAGTTTGTGCTGTGCTGGCTGCCCTTGGGCTTGTGCTTGTCTCTGCTCTCCCTTCCGGCGATACTGGTGAGTGCATGCATTCCCTATTACAGCGCCCGTCTCCCCTCATCTCATCCGCATCGCCTTTCCTCTCCATCTCTCCCATCCCATCCCATCCCGCCTCCAACTAATTGCGCCTCTGTGACAGCTGCTCGCTCTTTCTACCACTAAAGCCTTGCCCCGCGCGCCGCCACAATAAAACTGTTTACTCGATCCCGATCCAGCGCGACTCTCATCCGGACTGCTCACTCTCACTCTCACTCTTTGCAACTCACCCGCCGTTTCTTCCGATCTGAAGAATCGAAAATCGCTAGAATTTTTCATAAATCTCGTCTGCGGGTCCGAACCGGCTGTCCCGTCAAGCATCGCATTGACAGCCGAAGAAGCACGAAAAAGGCACCAGTAAAAGCCCCCCCGTCAGGGCCGTGACTCCCCCAAGCCTGCCTTGTACTGTATCTGCCGCCCCACCGCGCCTGCGAGTGACGGTGACCTCAGCGAGGTGAGCACAAAATCTCCCGTGGTTGAATCTCTCCTTCGTCTTTTTTTCCTTTCTCGGGTCTATTTAATTACCCTTCAGCTCTCTCGGAGCCCTGCGATGCTGTCATGCCCTTCCCGCAAACGGCGTCGCGTCTCTTTTCCCTTGTAGCCTCGGCTGACTAGCGCGCCTAGACGCTTCACGGCGATTCACGCACAACTTACTCCACAGCTAAAGAGCCTCACGTCGAGGCACTTGCTCCGGCCGCAATGGCCCAGCCGACGCGTTTTTACGCCTCTCCCAGGCCACTGGACGTTTTCAATGACGATGCATATTTCGAAAACGAAGCTCCCATGACGAGCCACGCACCCATGCCAAATCCCTCCAAGCCCATGCGTCGTCCCTTGGGCACCTCAACTCCCAACGTCATTCTTGAACCAGCAGTCTCCCACAGCTCCAAATTCTCACCGTACAAGGCCAAGACTCCAAGGGCGCCGCTGAAGCCGTCCCACGGCCTCAATAAATTCAACGGCATATCCATGGCTCCTCCTGCGGACAAGACGCCAGTGACCGATTCACTGCAGAAGAGGCCACAGTTGTCCAACTTCAAGACGGGCTTTCAAAAGCCCCAGCTCACCGGCCCTGATGCATTCTTCGAGAAGGAAAACGTCCATCCCCAGAGCTTCCCGGGACCGTCCACTATCGATCTCTCCGTTGGGCAGTACTTCCAGAACCCTCCCGGGAAAAAGGGACTCATGGAGGCTGCCCCCATCAAGGAATCTCGAGTCAGCAAGAAGCCCAAGGCTGACGAGCAATCACTACCACCTCACGACTCATTCCCGCCCATCACCGACGATGGCACGAAGCCACCTCATAGTTACGCTCAGCTCATTGGAATGGCCATTCTCCGATCTTCAAAACGCCGCCTCACGCTTGCTCAGATCTACAAGTGGATCAGCGATAACTATTCGTTTTACAGCCCCAATGATGCTGGATGGCAGAATAGCATTCGACACAACCTGAGCCTTCACAAGAATTTCATCAAGATCGAACGACCAAAGGACGACCCTGGCAAGGGAAACTACTGGGGCATTGAACCCGGCACCGAATTCCAGTTCCTCAAGGAAAAGCCGACTCGGAAATCTGTCCCGACTGGAGAGAACCTCCCTGTCATGTCCACCCGCCTCGAACCATCTCGACCAACGCCAGCACTAATGCCCGAGCCTTTGCTTCCGCCTCCGGCCCCAATGCATCACCAGCATCATCACCAGCACGCCAACAGCCTTCCTCCTCTCCCGACGTCTCAGGCAACCCTGTCAATGCCTCTGGAGCCGTCATCAGATGCCACCATTCTATTATCGGACAATGCGCCTGCTGATGACCTGGCCGACAAGGGTCCCGACAACGAACTACTACTGGAATCATCCTTCTTCTCACCCCTACCTGCTGCTTTGCATTCCACCCCACCCATGCCCCGGGCTGAGCGACGGAACGGTACACCGCCTCCCATGAACCGCAATCCCGCCTCATCAGCTACTCGAACTCATAAGCGCAAGTTTGCTTCCATGGATGACAGCGGCTACATCTCCTCCCTAGAATCCTCCGCCATGCGACCGAATGCGGCCAGGTCAGCTTTCTTTACGTCTGAACCGGATCGACGCCGCATCAAGCGTGGCCGCGCCGAAGAGGAGATTGCACGACTAAGAGGATCATCACCTTTCAGCCCATCAAAGAGCCGGCCATTCTCTAGCTATGGAATCAACTCATCGTCACCTTTCCGACCGTCTAGCGATAACCAGATGCCCCCTCCTCTGACCCCTGTCGTGAAAAAGGCAAAGGCTATTATCCAACCACCGCCGTCAGTTTCTCCCAACACCAACCTACGCATTCACCGCGCCAAAGTTCGCCATATGCTGCAGTCTCCTCTACGAAGAGTCGCCAACCTTACCAACGACGATAGTTTGCCTTGGAGTCCCGCCTTCCGCCTGGACGACAACATCTTTAGCTTTGACACGCCCAATGCCAGCAATCTGCCCGACTTTGACATCTTCCAAGATCTACCAGTGGATGATGAGAATGTGTTTGACAGCCTCCTACCCGCAGAGACCGGCTCACCAGTCAAACGCTCTGTCAAGCGCGCTCGCCTCGATCGGTCTATTTCTTCGTCGGCCATTGGAGAGCTGTCAGCTTCCAAGAAGCTTCTCGGACCAGCGCCTCTGCTCAAAGCTCCTGATACGCCATCTCAATTTCTGGAAACGCCCAGCAAGGTCTTTGAGGGCCTAAGCTCTCCCTCCAAGCTCTTTCAACAATCACCCATCAAGGGTGCTTCACCAAGCAAGTTTGCTTCCTTACTGGAGCTTCCAGGCGATGGCGACTGGCCATCTCTCCACATAGATACCAATGACTTTGCTACCGGCGCTGGCTCTGATGGCTCAGATTTTACTGGCCTCGATATTCTTCAAGGATTCGAGCGAATTGGCTCAGGCTCACAGCAGTCATCAAAAGGCGTGAACAGGAGTGGAAAGCCTGCACTCGGCCGAAGCTATTCAACAGCATTCTAAAAAGAAAGGAGAGCTTACGACAAAAACTGGCGCTTGCACAGGAGAGAATGATTACGATACCTTTTTTTTAATGACATAATGAGGACTGAAGAAGAAACAACACAAAACACAAGAACGAACCAACAGTTCTTCTTCTTCTTACACGTCTAGCTTCTTTTTATCATGAGCACAGTTTCCTTCACGCGACTAAAACGATGACTACTGGTGGTTTGACGCAGAGCGAGACTGAACTTTAAAATACAATGGGCTTCGCAGTTCTGCGTGCAAAAACCCGCCCCCCTTCCTTTGGGCTTCACGGCTTGCTTGTTACGGGTAACGATGATTCTGAGTACATAGTATACCATTTCTTTCTTTTCTTGTTGACCCTCCTTATTTTGCGGCATTGGAATACGATTACGGCTGATTCCAGGGAATGGAATTGCTTGGCTTAGCTGGAATGGCTTGGACTTGGGACTTGGCTTATTGTAAAGGGGTTAGGTCTTTTTTGTTTTCTTTTTCCTTGTTCTATTCCTTATGATCGGCTCTACTTTTTCTGCGTCTGTTTCCTTTCTTTACTTTTACTGGACTATGGGTTGGAAGCATGGAGTCTGGATTTCACAAAACATGTCGCGTACGCGCGTATGTAACCTAAGGGAAACTCGGTATCAAAGGGAGGCTTTTTGTGAGAGACTTGACTAGCACATGTTTGTATCTTTTTTTGTTGCTTTTTTTTTTAGGCTTGTTCTATCTTATTCATTTATTTTATTCTCTTATGGATCAGGATTAGGGGCGGATTATCAGCCGTTGGGTTTACTTCTGCCTTTACATGATAGGCTGTGTTGATTAGTTTTTGCCTTGATAACTACTTTGAACTTTTTTCCCCCCTTCCGAAAAAGAAAAGGGGTTGTCTTTAATAGCAATTTCAATTCAGTTATTTGCTTCAAGTTTGATCATTTGTATTAGTTCAGTGGTCTTGTGATGTAACTGGTAGAGCTACCTTGGTAACTACCTGTAGGTACCTAAGTGTAGGTAAGTATCACCTGTATACTTTCAATCCCATGGGCGTGAATGTGTGCATGTGTGCGAGCGTGTGTGACTAGGGGGGTATCTATTACCTTGACCATGCATTAATTTAATAAATTCAAAATCCATTTCACCTCCCATCCAGGTGGCCCCAAAAAACGCCCGTGTAGAACGCCTATGTACAGTTTACCCAATCGGGGGCGCACACGTCAAAATCCCCTCCCTCCAAGTCTATTTGGCTGTATTGGGTTGAACCTTTATCTGTCATTTGTCATCGTAGTTGTTGTTGTATTTTGATTTGAGATATTGCAGAAAAACGGTGGTGATAAATTGGGAGTCGTAAATGTTCGTGGCCTTTGCGTGTTATGGGATAAATAGATGAAACGCGAGGAGGAAAGTGGCAGTGGCGGACTCCAGTTCGGGTTGTTGCATGTTGTATGAAGAAAAGAAACCGGGACTTTTCAGTGGTACATTCGTATACGAGATAGCCAGCCGGTTTCCTTGGACTCGACGTTGATCTTGTAGGGAAACGGGTTGCCGCCTTGGGTGGTGATGGGCGGGATATGGTCTCTGTGGGTGTTGACGAAGGTGACGATTTTCATGGCGGTGGTGAAGAGGGTCTGCTCCATGGCTCTGCGAACCTTTGCTCGTTCTGCCGATTTAAAGTTAGCATCAGTCGATGTATAAGTTTTGATGATTCCAGATATGAACAGTCGCATCCATACCATTTTCAGTTCTCGGCTCAGCAACAGTCACTTTGATTGTCCAAGTCTCCCAGCAGACCTCCTCCACTCCGAGTGACGGCCACGGCTTGCGTCGTTTCTGGTCGAAGAACTGGACGGTGATTTGGCCTCTTCCTCCGCTACCGGCGCCATTGATTCTGTCTCGGTTCGTCGGCGCGCCCGAGTTGGACAATCGTTCTGCGTCGAGCTGGCGATCGAGTGCGGAGACGCCTTGCTCAATCATGGTCTGGAGCTCCTCGTCGTTGACGTAGGGGAGAGTGACATCCAGGACTTCGTGCGTTTGCGGGGTGAGAGAGGGGAAGAATCGGTTGAAGAAGATTGTATGTAGTATGCCTGTAATTTTGTTGCGCAACTTATTGTCAGCTCCCCGGGAGATGATTGCAAATGATGTTTGCGACGCCTTGTAGGGATCAATTTAGCTTACCTTTAACAACGTCGCGGACAGATCGTGGGTCCGTAAAGACGTCCAGTATGAATTCCGGGGGCTTCTGTGAATCCATTTCTTCTTTTTTCCCAGAGGAAGGCAAAGGCAGCCGTTTGCTGGGTTACGTTATCGCTGGTTCGAAAAAGAAAAGAAAAAAAAAAGAGAGCAAGGCCGAAAAGGGAAAGTAGATGTAGTGGTGAAAATTTTTCCCTTTTGTCTCTCGATGTCGCTCACTTATTTGCGCTCTTCCTTTTTTTTTTTCAAAATGTTCAATTATATGTCACCACCAGTGGAAAGCGTCGATGAAGAAGAAATGGATTGGCCAGTGTTATCTAGTCTGTTCTGCGAAGAGGCGCATTGCTGATGCTTTAAGCCACGGTCTCGGGGTCTCTTATTTGTTGAGTCAAAAAAAACAAGGTTGCGAGAGTCGTCAGCAGGAGCGAGAGAGTCACCAGACCAGATCTCGAGGGCTTTTAGCGACAAGGAGGCGTCTGTTGGAGATTGGAGATGCTGATGGGGGACCGAAACGCCTAGAAGCGGATAGGCAAGGAGTGTCGTCTCGGCGTGCGCAGCTGGTGCAGGGAGCGATGCAAAAAGGGAGGAGGCGAATAATTGTCAGATGCCACCAGGAGTTGAAGATGAAATTGTGCCGCAGATATGCAGGCCTGGATGCTGGAAGCGAATTGAAGCGAGGGGGTGGGGGATGGCTGGAGAGGGGCAAAAAAATACAGGCTGGATCGACCAGTAACGTCACCGGCCTTGGGGGCTCGGGGATGCTTATTTACTGGGCTGCTGGTTGCGGCAACGATAAGCGATAAGGGCGCCTCAACTGTCTCTTTAGCAGCGGGACGGCAAAGGTCAGCACATTAACTCCCCTATACAGGCCTGTATAGGTAGGTAGCTTTTGAATTGATGTTTTTGAGAAGATGCTGCCCATCCAGTAATCTCTATGAAGCTCTAATGAAATAGCAGCCATTACTGATTTCCTAATGGTTTTTAATCCTCTCAGCGGTAGCCAAAGTTCATTTGATCATATGACACCAATCTGTCCGTCTGCAGCATATGTGTACACAGTAACACGTCAATACTGTATATGCCATTTAATGGAAATCGATGCCTTCAGAGTTATTGGAGATTACAGCGCCCAAGCATGTGCCACAGCCTAGCAGGGCGCTACGGTGGGTGTGAAATCGTGGCAGCGCCTTACAGCATTAACGGTCTAGTGCGTGCATCTGTACAGGCCGCCGCCGGTCCCCCGGAAAAGGGTGCTGCTAGCAGTCGGAGGCTTATTAACCAGTACTCGCCCAATACAACCAACCTTGCGCCTTTTGCAGCCCGCGCAGCCGTACTCGCCGCGTACTCGCTCCCGTACCTACATCTCAGCCGAGAGGCCAATTAGCGGCCCTGCTCCTGCAACCGAGGCATCCCGGGAATCGCTGAGCTCCCAAGTTTCCATCTCGAAACATCCGCCATCGCGACTCGACCACCGAATCTGCCGTCCTGCGTGCTTGCGAGCCTCGTGCGACGTGCCATTCCCTGCCGTGCCCGCCTCCAAGAGCCTGGCTTCTGCCTTCTCCTCTCTCTCTGCCCGGCACTCGACTGAACACATGTGTTTGCACTGCCAATCCATGACCTCCTAACACGACCCGACCTGTGCAGCGCTGCCCAACATGCTCTCTTCAGCCCGGCGCTGGGTGCGTCGCAACCGGACACCAATTGCCATCGGCGTTGGTGTCCTCGGCGCTGGCTATGCCGTGACGCAGTACGTGATGGCCAAGATCAACGATGCGCGCGAGCGGATGAGCAGCGATCGCATCGCCAAGGAAAAGTAAGTCGGCCTTGCGTGCCCAGCAGGACAAATTGCCTGGCTCTGCATGGCTAACGCGGCATCATCAACCCTCCAGCCTTCGCCGTCGATTCGAGCAGAACCAGGAAGACTGTACTTATACCGTCCTGGCTCTCCTGCCCACCGCCACGGGCAACGTGATTACGGCCTTGAACACCGAGCAGATTACGTACGAGATCCAGCAGATCAAGAGCTCGGCGAGGAGCCTCAAGGGCATCCAGACAACAAGCCCGCCCAGTATTGCCGATACCACTCTCACCGAAGATGATAGCAAGAGCACCATCAGCGTGCCGGTGGATGTCGGAATGCCCTTTACTTCAGATGGCTCCCAGCAAGAGCTGGCTCCTCCCAGGCCGCGAAAGACCAAGAGGCAACTCTGGGATGACTTGACCATTAGCGGTACGCTGCCTCCTTAATCTATGACCCATCCATATGTGAGTAAAGGATGAAAAAGGAAACTAACAAGTGATTTTTTGGAAATGCAGCCATTACAAGATCATTCACCCTCATCTACACGCTCGCCCTTCTCACCATGCTGACAAGAGTTCAACTGAACCTTCTCGGCCGGCGCAGCTACTTATCCAGTGTTGTTGCTCTCGCTACTGGCAGCCAGCAGGCCACCATCAGCCTTGAGAACAATGACGACGACAGCCCCAATCCGCATGGCAGCGATTTCGACACAAATCGCAAGTATTTAACCTTCAGCTGGTGGTTGCTGAACAAGGGCTGGGTGGACGTCATGCACCGCGTAGAAAGCTCTGTGCGGACCGTCTTTGGTAGTCTCAGCCCTCGAGATCTGGTTACCTTTGATCGGGTCTCCCAACTGACCGCAGAGGTGAGAAAGCTGATTGAAGGATCCAGCTCAAACAACAAGGGCTCGGATTGGCTGTCTTTCCTCCTGCCTCCCAAGGATAAAGAGGACGAGGTTCTCCGTCAGTCTGGTGTGCTAGATGATGCCAGCCTATCTCCTGAAGATGGTGCCCAGCCATCACCTGCCGCTCTGAGACGCTTGCTCGACGAGACTGCTGATTTAATCGAATCGCCAGCCTTTTCACACGTCTTGACACTGGTTCTCAATTCGGGCTTCTCACTGTTGGTGGACAAGAAACTGGCCACTGAGGCTTTTGAATTTTCCTTGGACGAAGCTCCTACTACGGTAGCAACGACAACCAGCCTCAAGCGCACCAGAGCTATCCTGTTGCCCAAGATCTTGTCTGTCCTAACGCGACAGGCTCATGTCATCGGTAACGGCAATACACCGAATGAGTATCTCCAGGAGATGGAAACAGTGCGCGATCTCGAGGCTTTCTCCGCCGTCGTATACTCTAGCAACTGGGAGAATGAGATGAAGGACGAGGGACTCATGGAGAGTGCTGTCTACGTCAAGTCTGAAGATACCCAGTCTCAGTCAACTCAGGTTGATAGCAGTGTTATCATTGTTGAGCCTCAAGCTACTACTAGCTTGGAGGGCGCATGGGAGAGAGCGACGGCGGGAGAGAAGTCTTGAAGCAGAAGAAGCATGTATCCTCAATATGCATATTTGTATAGTAAAGAGTAAAGATCTGGTGCATTCTACAGGTTTTGTTTCACTTTTGGAAGGGCAGGACGGACTGGTATAAAGATTTAATGGCTTTTTTTTTTTTTTTCTTTTTTTTTCTCTTTGTTCTTATTTTTCATCGCTCATTTGGATAGGTACTACTATGATGTTGGCGGACTAGCAGACAGCATATAACGATATATCCTACAATCTCCTCGGCGCTCAGAGGTTCTTTTCAGCGCTTGATCTTCTCCAAACGTTGCCTCCTATGCAAACTTGTCTCAAAAGTTCCCCAGGCCTCATTACGGGTCAATCTATCCTGTTGTCACAACTCGTAGGTTCAATATCCGAGCGGCCAGCGGGGGTGTCTGGATGGCTCATCCCCGCAATTGCCTCGTCGTCTTTGTTTTGCTTGTTTCTTGCGGCTCTGCTAAACTCCAAGTAGCCGGAAACCGTAGAGTCCTTGACCGAGAGACTGCTGTGGGACAAATCAGGGTGATGAGAGCGTCCATGAGCGTCAGGCAGACGCCGTCATGGCTGTTGGTACCGATATTTCCCCGTTTCCGCCCTTTATGTGTATCTCATTTCAAACTCGTATAACCGTCAAAGTGCCTTTGGCAAATTCACATCATGCCCCTTATGAACTGGTCTAACCCCCGCTCGAAGAGTTCGTTTCTGATGCCGGCGCCCCCCTTGTGTTCGACTGGTGCAAGCGGGTTCTTGACAACTATTTACTCATCATATTAGCCACTCTATCCTTGAACAACCTGGTTACCTGGACATCTTGAAATCTTTCTGGGAGTCATGTACCATATTCCACCCATAGGTTGATGTAAATCTGATGCAGCACATTCCGCATGCTCGCCGACGCGGTATCTGTAATCATGACGAAGCGAAGATTGGCGGGCGTCTCGTAAAAGTGCAGCTTATACTGGCCCGTCCGGTAGCTGATGAAGGCGTCGTCGTCGCCGCCGAGCTTGCGGGCCATGTTGCGGAGGGAGAAGACGGTGCCAAAGACGAGCTTGGCGTCGTCCGAGCTGGTGGATATGGCGGGCGCGGGGGCTTCTTGGTCGGGCGATGCCCATGATTTGACGTAGACGCATTCGGCTGGGGAGGAGAGAAGATCAGATCAAGATGTTTCCGCATACAGGTAAGCCATCTTGCGAAAGAGGGAGTGACCTACTGTGGCGGTCGAAGATGTAGAACGTGTAGACGGCCATTGTGAATAGCTTTGCGCGTGCGGGCAGGCACGGACTCTGGTTGGTTTGAGTGACAGTGTTCAGATGCTGCACGCGACAAGATCAATGAGGGCCGGCTTGCAAAGGAGACACTGTCGTCGTCACAGGACGAGCGAGCTCCGTCAGGTACAGTTGGTTGCGAGATGTGTGTTTCTGTCGATCAAGGGGCGCCTCGGTTATCTAATCCAGCGACAGGCTGACCTGGAGCTAGCAGGCGCCCCCGCCGCGGGCTGGCGGGGCATGAAGGCCCGTAGGAGCCCACTATAAAGTGCTGCCAATAGTGGGCAGGAGCTTCAGTCTTCATTCATACTGGCCTTGTGGTATACCTGTGCTGCTTCTTTCGCTAGAAACGGCCGAAATAGTTTGAGTAGTACTGAATAAACATATAAACAGATAAATAGATACTTTTCAAGCTTTGCAATGAAATTATAGTGAAATGTAGTGAGATGCAAAACACCAGAGTTGAGTGCTTTAACAGAGCTCGGGATACGCTGACACTAGATCTCAAGCATTGATACCCCCCTAGGTATATCCAGTAAATGCATTTATAGCCCGGCATAGAAGGACCATGCGATATTTGTAAATAGCATCATTCTCAGTCATGAATCTCCGACATTCTGTACCGAGTACTGTTTGCAGGCATGGCCATAGCGGTCGAGGTAAACGCCCGCCTGTCAGAGACAAGCCGTCCAGCTCCAGAGCCCCGCTTTATCGCAAGATGCCAATGCAGCTATCGCGTATAGCCCCTCCATTGGTTGGCTCAGGGCGCTCGTCCTGATTTCAGCCTCACGTCTCATTTCGCAGCCCTGGCGAAATTGTGCTTGTGCAGCTTCAATCTGGAAAAATAATCACGTTGCTGGCTTCTTCTCACACCTTGCCTGGACTTCAATTTCGCCTAGTATCTTCTGAGAGCCTCGTCCAGGAGTCTCGTCCCCGCACGCGACACAGATTCTCATCGCTGCTCTTCTTCTCGAGCCTCAGCCGAGAGCTGCGTCTTCTGCCATCATGGAGACGCCTCCGCAATCGCCTAGAGGCGCGAAAACCGATCCTCTCCCTAGCCTTCAATCGCCTAGACTCACTGTCAACGGTCGCGAGGATATCGCCGACGATATTCGACCATCTTTGGCGTCTGCTATGTAAGTGATGGTGCTGAAATCTGCTCTTCCAAGAAGAAGAGAGAAAGAAGAGGCCTAGCCTCGCTTGTCGCCAGGCGCTGATTGATCTTTTTTTCTGCTTCAGCTCCGAGCCTGTTCGTCTGCAAGGCTTCGCAAGCCCGATCAGACAGCATAAACGGACTCCAAGCGCTCATCGCGAAATCAAGGTCAGCTTTTCTCCGGCATATGGCCTCCAACCGGACCAAGTGTGGGCTAATCTCCAGTAGGAAACTTTGGACGCCCACGTCGAGTTCTCCAATGATGAAACGGATGGTCGAACTCACCACAGAATAAACCAGTTTGTGATTCAGGATGAAATCGGTCGCGGATCTTACGGCGCTGTCCATCTCGCGACAGATCAGTTCGGCAATGAGTTTGTATGCTTCCTTTATCAAGGCATTTGCTTGTGCCCTCTTTCTAAGAGTATTCACTTACGGCGAGATCTACAGGCTGTCAAAGAATTCTCCAAGGTTCGCCTACGCAGGCGGGCACAGTCCATCGCCATGCGCCAAGGCCCTGGGGGGCCGCAAAGACGTATGCCTGGTAGAGGAGGCGCCATGTCTCCTCGTCTAAATGGGCTGCGAGACAGTGAGAGGAGCGATGCCTTATTCTACATCCGAGAAGAGATTGCTATTATGAAGAAGCTCAATCACCCGAACTTGGCTCAACTTATCGAGGTGCTCGATGACCCAGATGAAGATTCCCTGTACATAGTAATGGAGATGTGCAAAAAGGGGGTCATCATGAAAGTCGGCCTGGGCGAGCAAGCAGATCCCTATCCTGAAGAGGAGTGCAGGTTCTGGTTCCGAGATTTGATCTTGGGAATTGAATACTGTAAGTCATACAGAGAACTGCATGTTAACCGCAAATCTCTCTCTAACATGATAATAGTACATGCTCAAGGAGTTATTCATCGCGATATCAAGCCAGACAACCTCCTATTATCCGAAGATGATGTCCTAAAAGTTGTAGACTTTGGCGTCTCAGAAATGTTTTCAAAGGGAAACAACATGAGGACGTCCAAATCCGCTGGCTCTCCGGCCTTTCTGCCCCCTGAACTATGCAGCAAGCACAGCGAAGTTTCTGGGACGGCTGCAGACATCTGGTCGATGGGCGTCACCCTGTACTGCCTTAGATACGGAAAGATACCGTTCAACAAAGAGGCCATTCTTGAGATTTACGAGGCTATCAAGACGGAGGAGCCAGAGTTTGCGAAAGATGAGAATCCGACATTTATTAGTTTAATGAGCAGACTCCTAGACAAGAATCCGGAAACCCGAATTACGATGGCTGAGCTTCGCGTATGTACCGGCCAACTTTGACAGTCACAAATACGTTCGGCATGCTAATGTAATACTACAGGAACATCCTTGGGTAACCAAAGAAGGAGCCGACCCCTTACTGTCGGCAGAAGAAAATTGTTCAGACCCCATAGGACCACCGAATGAGCTGGAGCTCAGCCGAGCTTTTACGAGGAAGATGAACCACCTTCTTTGTGTGATGAAGGCAATCTATCGATTTCGGTGCTCATTGGCCCGCAGCCGCAAAAAAGCTGCGGGTCAATCAAAAGAAGCTACAAAAGAAAACGCGACACCCAAATTACTAGATGTCAGCGCATCAGTAGAAGATATAGCGGCGCTCATTGCACAACAAAAGACGATTCTGCTTGCGCCAGAGCCCGACGAAGAAAAGACAAAAGGCCACGCTCATGATGTCAGCGACCAAGAACCGCTGTTCCTGGGCATCGGCACTGGAGCAAGAGATGCTTTTGTTACCGATGAAAAGACGCCCGATGTCGTGTCTGACTCTCCTACGGCAGTCGATTTCAACGTATACGACCGGGCGTACGAAGAGGCCATAAACGAGCGAATGAAACAGAATCAGTCAAGCAACCCTGTCATGTACTTGACCAAACACATCAAAGAGAAAGAGTACTTCAAAAAGCTGGAGAACATGGTCGACGAAGCTTCGGTCTCACTACCTCCCTTCAAGGCTGCCTTGGAGAATTCCAGCCGACTTCTAGACCCTTTACCTTTACGTCCAGGCAATAGAGTAGCCGATCTCGTGTCTAGAGTCAGAGGCTCGGAAGCGTCCGAGAATAGCAGCAAGACAAAAGGCCAAAATTAGACGGATGGTTGTCTCATCAGCGGTCTTGACATGGCGTGTTCCTCTTCGGCCTTGTTCCGCCAGGTAATATAATTGTGAACATCTACATGAATACATTCCAAGAAAATATCTCGGGATTGCGAGATACCAGACTCGAGCATTGCTAACCCCTCTCCTGATGGGTGACCTCCTTTTCAATAAAGTACAACGAGTATACATGATTTATCCATAAGACGACGATTAAGGGGTGTCCAACGGAAAGCCAGGAAACAGACTCGTGTGCGGCTGCCTCCAATCAGACAATATGCTGCCATGTTTCTACGCTACCCAAGATGCATTATCATGATGTATGATGAGATGAGATTATCGCAGAGGTTATCAATTCCGTTGGTTCTGTGGAGAAGGCAATCTCCGCTGCCAATAGTGAAGGTGTGCTCACCGCTTCAGACTTGCATACCAAGGAGGCAGCAATTAATATTTTTGAGCTAAGCACGTAGGGGGGGAGGATACCACGTTGGATATTTCTGATACGGTCGGTGAGACCGTTACTACTACAGTACAACGGCAGTGACAATTGCAGGCGATAGCGTTAAAGTAATGGACAATGAAAGGGCCGACGAATGAGGCTTGACCCATGTCATTCGGTACGACGCACATGTACGGAAGGAGATTTAGGCAATCGATTTAGGGAAGCACCACGCACGCGCAGCATGAGCATGAGCATGGAATGCTGGGAAACAAACCCCAGCCATGGGGACTGCAAGCAGGTATTACTCCGTACACCAATCAATCCTTGAGGCTCGGGTAGGCATTGCATGGCAGGGAGCTGCTCTATCTAGAAGAAGAAAATGTCTCACGGCGTGATATGAGATGCATACGAACAGCCAAAATACTGGTTACAGGGCTTTCAAGGCGCGTTATCACCCACGGCGGCCCCTGATACATACCTGCGTTCCCTGTCCGGGCTGGACGAGCTGAGCATCGGGGAAGGGATAGATGGCTCAGGCCATGTGGCAGACGAACGAAAATGGATGGCTTTGCTCCGTAATAGATGCTGAGGGCATGCCCGAGATGCACAGGCTGAAGTCGGGCAGAGTCTAGAACCAAGGGATAAGGAGCAACGGGCGCATTGATGGTCGAATCGCAATGTAGCTTTTGAGACGGCGCTGCAAGTCTCGATAGCCGATGGCTGCAGACGCGCCGTACCGGCTACCAGAGCCAGAAATCGGTGTCTAGGTTTACATGCCGGGGGGGGCTTTTTCATATGGTGGGATGGACAGTGATCCCATGGCGCCTATACTTGCGTCAAGACCCCTCCCATGCTTGCAATTCCCAACAGGAAAGAGTTTCCCGGGGACCTTTGGTTCTGTGTTATCCGAGCACAAGCTGCAGGCAATGACGGAAGAGCCATTGAAGAGCCACTGAAAAGCGAGAGGCATGGCACGAGCCTCAACAGCCGGGCACGACAAGAAAGCAAAAACGCAAACGCTGTGACGGAGGTTGTACCGGGGAAGCGGCAATGCGGGATCAGGAAGGGGGAGGGGCGAAAGACATCATGGCAATTATCTCTTTTGCTGCTTGAGTCTGTCGTTTTTTTCCCATGGTCCTTTTCCTTTCCTGTTTGCTTACATGTACTTTACATACTAGGTCTGTGACATCAGGAGAGGGCATGAGAAAAAAAAACGGGCGGCAGCCGCCCGGGATGGAAAAACACGCAGATCGGCAATGGAGGAGCTGACAGCTCAGCATCGACTCATTTCAGCCGCTTAGATCCGCAGTTCCCAGGATAACAGTGAGTGACTGGCGGGCTGCTCCCCTGGCGATTTCTATGCGAGTAGCGGTCGGTCGGGGTAGTGAGAGAGAAGTAGAGACGGGCAGAGAGAGAGCTAAGCTTCTTACTTGGAAGATTTCAAGAGGAATAACTTGAATGAGAATAGTCCAACTAGACTACTATTTTATTTGATCATTTTCCTTGACTGTGGAGTGGCCAAAAGGTGGCGTGGCAGGCTGTGCCATAAGCTGGGGAGATGATTGAGCCGGGCGGTTTTCTATCTGGTCCTATGAGATCATATGGGGGGACGGTTTTGGCAGCTGTCTCTGTGGGTGAGGGGCGTGATGGGCCATTTCCAGGCCTCTTCAGTGGTTGGAAAGGCAGTAGGACAAGATATACACTACTGGGTATCAATGTCATTTGCGACTATGCTGTAGGCGACGGCTAGAAATGTTTAATTTCCAGATGCTTAGAGCCTTGGCATTGGGCTTGGCCCTCGGCATCTGGCGCAAGCTCGGGGAGCATGTGGTGGGAATGAAGCAGGACGAAAGGGAGAGATGGAGAGAAATACGTGTAAAGACGGAGCAGCGATGACTTCATTGTAGAAGAACTAGTGATGTGAGAAGAAAAGGGAGGGACGGGGAGGGACAGAGAGGGGGGGGGGGGGGGGGGGGGGGGGGCGAAGAGATTCAACTTACAAATCGTTTTCTTCGGGTCTTTTGCTCTGTCCGCCAAGTAAACATGTACTTGGATGTTATTTGTCCCTTTTTCTTCTTCTTACAGTATGGAGGCGTTGGAGGCCGCCTGAGGGACGCAGTTGAGGAGGGGGTAGCGGAGAAAGAGTTTAGGTGCAGGAATAGCGTCCCTTTTTTTTTGCGAGTATTGCTGCGGACTTACATGGCCTTATTAGTGCTGTGCGGTACGTACATGGCAGTGTCGATACTTTTTGTATACATAAGCTGACCTATCAGATGGGTGCGGTCGGGTATTTTATTTCTTGTTCCTTTCCAATTGTAGAAGCCCAATGCAAGGTATCAACGGTATGGCTATCTATACGTGCTGGGTATATTTCAACGATGCAGGTGAGAGGGGAAATCCTGCATCCTGCATGTAACAAGCCCGTTGAAAAAAGAGAGAGTCTGAGAGTTTTTTTTTAATGGAAAGGGGGAGTGCAGTATTACAGGGGAGGGGTAAAAAAAAAAAAAGCGTGGGCTCATGCGAGTAAGAAATCGAGGTGACAGAGCGCGTGTTAGACTTTGGGTTGATGTAAACACGAGTAAGTGTGAAGAGGAGAGTTTGGAGTTTGGGCTGTAAAGTGAGGGGAGGGGATGAGATTTACGTTGGCTGCAAGGCAGTATGCGGCTACATAACGTTATGTGATGGCTGGTCAAGGGACCTATCTCTTTAATAGGTTGAATCGCGTATAGCCGGGATTGGGTGCCAAGGAGCAATTCATGTATGCTACATACGGAGAGCTGCATGCAAGTTTTTTTTTTATTGTGTTTGATGTAAAAGGTATACATGCATGCAGTTAATTTGGGGAATAGGTGAGCGCGTATGTGTTCCGAAGAAGTTGAGGGTGGGACTTTTTAATATACAAGTACATGTATGCCGCTTCGGCTCGAGATGAATTGATGCTTTATGATGCCGGTTGATAGTAACTCGCCGCGGTATGCTGCTGGCTGCTGGTATTGCTACCAACAACTGGCTAAAAAAGAGAAACGCACATGGGCGGATCTGCTTACGGCGGTTATTAGCACCACGGGTTACGGTATAGATAAAACCGCCAAAGTCATGCCAGCGGCTTGTCATTGGCCCCCTTTGGCTCTGTCTCCTCCAATGTCGGGGTGCAGCAAACTACGAGCGATCGATGGAGCCAAAGGGCCGACCAAAGGGCATTGGAATGGTCTGGGTTCATGTATCTGGGCCATTCTGATGGAGTTGGGTCGTACGAGCACATGCAGGCAAAAAAAAGGGCTTGCGGGGGAATGATGCTTGGGCTGTCCTTTTTTTTTCTGCCATATGTTTCGTTCAAGCTAGGCAATGCAGGCGAGCAAAGTAAGGTATGCGTGCATGTAACTAACTGTATGGATATATGTGTATGTGCGTGGGATGAGGATGGCGCCTGAAGGGGTCCACGGGCCTGGAACCGGTACGTGCGACGTTTGAAAGATTGGAAGTAGGTGTTCGTACATGTACATGTACATCCATACTTTGCTGTGCCGCAGTTTTTTTTTTTTTTTTTTTTTTTTTCCTGATAAAAATTCATCTTGGGGGCAGCAGCCAGGTGAGGCTGAAACAATGGCCATCGATCGCTGTCTCAAAACCTAAGCCACCTAGTTGAGACTTGAAGTATCTACTAGTGCTGCTACATCAAAGAAGAAACTGAAGCAAAAAATAGCATGAAATCTGTTTTTTTGTTTCAAAACGTGCCAAAAACAAATTTAACTGTAAATTGAAGTTAAAGTCTAAAATAAACACTGCCACGCTCCCGTGGTCTTGGCAGTGTAGTTTTCCGACTGCCGTCTTGGCAATCTCGGCGCACGCCAAAAAAAAAAAGAGAGGATACAAAGAAGAAAATTTTTTAATCAAATCGTACCCGTTAGCACAATCTACGGGCCGTGTAAGAGCTGTCTCTTCTTGGCCTTTTCTTGGCTTCCCTGAGATTTTCGATGGAGAAAGGGCAATTACGTACACGATGGCTGTGCAGAGCTGCCTGGTTTGGTTGAGGAGCGGTTCCCCGACGCCGAAAGAGTCATTGACCGCCTGTGCTTTATTTCTTTGATATGGATATGGGACATGTACAAGTACGGAGGCGGTTAGGGGGGAGGAATGGTGCTTTGGCGTTGATGCATCTCACGCGGCGGGATATGTATGTGCGTATGTGTGCGTGTGTGCGCATAGGGCTGTGAGATGGATGGCCTGTAGCTGGCATATGCCTATCGGAACCTGGGAGCAATTCGAACCGGCATAGCTCCCAACTGCCATTGCACCAAGCATGGCCTTTTTAGCTGCTCAACCTCCCGCGTATGGATAAAGGGGGCGGTATGCAGGCAGGCAGCGTCTCGGGCTGTGAGCACCGAGTGCTGCATGGCTGGCGCGCCAAGGAGCAATCAAGCGCTGCCTGTGGGCATGGCCATGGCCATGTCGTTTAATCATCAGCATTCCGAGGGTCCTTGGCATTTTGGGATTGCGGCTGTGAAGGCATGTTGTACTTGTGCTGTGCTGTCTTGCTAGCTATTATTAATGAATCGTATGAGCATCTCAGTGTATGCCAAGTGGGTTGATGGGGGACCCGTTCTCAGGGCTGACCTGGTACTGGTACTTTACCAGGTAATATGGACAAGGAACGAAATGACCCGAGGCCCTAGGTAGGGCTCTCTGTCTGGTCTGCAGCGGGCATGTCGCGATAATGATCTGAGGCAAACTCGGACTGCAAGGGGGCAATTGACTAGACAAGACAATCTCAAAGATACCGCAAGAAACAAAAAGATTAAGGAAAGGACGGAAACCTCCGAATACTTCTTCAACCCATCAGGTACTAGGCAATTAAACATCTAGATCGATCTAATTTCACACATGTAGGGTAGCACCCCCTTTGTGCTTGCTTGGCAAAAAGGGTTTTCAGTGCCGCGCATGGTACATGTACTTGCGCGTAGAGAGATGCTGAAAAGCACATGATGCAAGGTCTCCAAACCACAAAGTGCCCAGAGCTACTAATCAGCCGTCATCTCATTGTGCCTCGATGCTTCCCTTGCCTGTGGCTTCATTTGCAGCTCCAAGCCGTGTCTCACACTCCACCGGCGCCGCCGCTGAGCGATTTGATGGCCACCGCCGGATCCAGCGAGCCTGGCCTGGCATCGCATCAGCATCAGCATAGGTGAGGGTATGTAAGCGGGCTGGGCTGGTGAGGTGAGACGACGCGCTGCCAATTAGTAAGGAATAGTCAGTAGGAGCAGACTGTGTCGTAATGCCTTGGCATCTGGTGCCACGGCACGGTGTAGTGGCAGCGGCATCACGGCCGATATACAGTATTGATGGAGTCGCTCGCACTATTATACGTACCAGACACAATAGCAATCGATGCCCATGCACGCGCGCATGCAAGCGTGCCTTGGCTCTGGTAGCACCACCGCCGGGCACATGTCCAGCCTGTAATTGCGGCGCTGCCAATTGGAACAGCACCTGCAAGTACCCACGTAACACGCCCCGTGGCCCTGCACCCTGGGCAGCAGCTTAGCGGCCGCCAGCCAGCCAGCGCCGCCAAGGCCGCCGAAAAGGGCAAGACCAGAGGACTCGATTTTTCTTTATTTTCTTATTTTCCTATTTTCCCTTTTTTTCCTCTTGTATCCTCAGGATTCAATGCTTTAGCGCGCCTCGGTATGTTTCTTCTGGGCTTCCCTTTAGGTTGTTTCACACGCCCACACCGTCTCTTTATGAGTGCATGTAGAGTCAACACCCTCTGGCGCAATGGAGCAATTAAGGAACAGGCGAGAAAGGAGAAGAAATACGATTGAGGAGACAGAAATATAGGACAGTAAGTATATAACTCACTGTAACAGTAGACGGCTGTACATTTGATGCTGCCACTTCTGCTCTGCTGCAGCACCAACGCATCTGGCAGTGACATGCACGAAATATGTACGCGCTCCTCCCCTCACACACACAGAACCGCTTCACCTCAACCGGCTGCTCATGCCATGCATGTAGCTGGCTCCTTTCTCTCTTTTCCCCGGCTGCCAGCCGAAACTTCTTTTTTTCTTTTTCATCTTGTGCGATTAAATAGTAGCTTCTTTCCGTTTAGCTCTGCGGAGCGGAGAGGAGAGAGGATTAGTCCCGCAGTGGAGGAGGGGAAATTTTTTTTTCTTCTCTTTGAAAATCCATCGTTTGTCCCTTTGGAGTGGTTTTGGCGCGCGCGCCACAAGCTGCTTGTTTCGTACATGACAGCCTGTCCACGTATTCTAGACTAGCCGTGGACCACCAGACTATCCCTCTTTACAGCCTGCGGTATACGAGCAGAAGGGCGGGATGCACGACTTGCACATGAGCTGCTGCTAACAGCACGCACCGCTGCAGCATTTCGGCATGTCGCTGCTGCAGGCCGCTGGAGCCGCAGCTGTTGCCCCAGCATCTGGGACTGCCCGCCACAGGACGCTCAGCTGGACGGGCTGACGCTGCCAATTACATAGAGGGCTTCAGGTCAATTGGCCTCAGTCGCATCCCGCGGGCAGCCATTCGGGATCAAATGATTGTATTGATCTGGTAATATGGAGCATTGCGCCGCCGCAAAAAGGCACCGGCAGCCCAATAACTCGCACGGCTAGCAGCAAACGTAAACGTCTCAGCGTGCCCACCAACCAGAAATTTTTCATCAAGTCAGTCTCCAGCTGCTGCAGGCTATCCAAGGCTCTGTCGTGCTTTGTCACCCGCTGGAGCCAGTCCCCGGCGCCTTCATTTGCCGCAGCGCAGTTTCCAGCACCAACCACAGGCCCCTACAGCGGCGGTCCTAGAAGCACCCTCCATGCCCTCCATACCGGAACTTGCCTGGCCTGCTCCCAGGTTCCTGTATGCCGTACTGTCCTCGGACACGTCCATGTGCCCGGCGTGTACTTGTACCGCTACCTGCCCGCACAGACACGCGTGACAGACACCGCACCGGCCTGCCGCTGGATACCGCGCTGCGTACCGCTACAGGCGCGCAGCAGCGCCCCTTGCGCTCCGTAAAGCTCCGGCGCCAGTCCCGTACCGGTACCTGTACTCGCGCTACCGCGGCCGTCCCCATTGCAGACTTTGCCGTCTGGTACCTGCTGTGTCTGTTGGTACTGTAATACGGATCCCCCACCGCTGGACCCTTCCAAGGTACAGTACTTTTTTGCCTGTCCGGTCAAGTGTCTTTTTTGGCTTTTCCCTCACTAATATGGCAGCAATCATATCCTGCTTTTTTCTTGCAGTCCTCCTCTTCCCTGGCCATTTATTCCCTCTTTGCCTCCTCCCCTGCCCCCTTTTGCCTCTGTCCCTTTTTCGCTTTTCTGCTCGAGCTGACGGGCTTATTACCACCTCTTCCTTCTCCTCTGCTTCCGCCGTCACCTCTGAATTGCCTCAGCGCCCACCCCCGCCCTCCAACGTCACGACCACAGCTAAAAGGCTGCGAGAGGGTCTCTCTTATTTGCGTCCCTGGCCTCTCGTCTCCTCCATTGGGCGTGTGTGCGTGTGTTGTTGTGTGTTTGTGTGTCCATCTAGCTTATACCCAAGCTCCACCCCTCTGGCACTTACACTTAGACCACTGTGCACACCACCACTGCCACCACCGCTTTTACTGGGACGCTCAGCCCGGCCCTGCTCTGACGGCACTTTTTTTTTTTTTCTAAAACAAAAAATTCCAATTTTCTGCTTTGGCGGCAGCGCCCAAAAACCTGCCTCCACCCCCGGATATTTGCCAGGACCACGCAACATCCCATCATACAGCGCGCAGAAACACACATATAAGGGCTGCGCACCGGAGATCGCCCCGTTTTGCAGGCCCTACGACCTTCATCCTCCCTGCTGGGCCTCTGCCGCCCGTCCGCGCTTCCAGGCGGTTCCTTCTCCCTCTTCCTCTTCTATACAAGCTATACAAGCACCACATCACCCCAGGCGCAATTACGTCTGGCCTGTCGCCCGTGCGTTGTTCTGCGCCCAGCCTCGATCTGACGCTGCAAACGCCCCTCCTCGACTCCCCCTACAAGCGCCGCCTGGCCTGGCTACGACCTGCTTTTAATTGCCATTTGACTTGACTTTCCTGGAAACGAAACAAAAAGGCAACATCCGACTGCGGCGTTGCTGAGCTTGTTCATCTTTTTACTCTTATACCTTTTTATACCCTTTTTATATTTTGTTTTTTTACTTTTCTTTTTTTCTGTGCCTATATTTATCTGCTGCTCCCGCCCAGCCTCGCATCCTGCTCTCGCCACATAGGATCGCCGTCCTCTCTGCAGGCTGCCCTCTTCATCAGCTCCGGAATCAGCTTCCGCCGCCGACGCAATCCCCTCCATACACCGCTGGGCCCCGTGCAGCATCCCGGCCCTCGTCACCGGATCAGGCAACCTCAGTTGGCCTCTGTGCTCGCCCTTCAGCAGACGCCTGCTTGGCTTTTTCGAAACTACATTTACTCACATCTTTCGACTTTCGACTACTTCCAACGACTAGGCGCTCGCCATCGTCAAGATGCCGTCCGCCGCCCTCGAGTCAAAACCGAGCTCTGCTCAAAGCTCAAAACCCTCGTCCATCAAGTCGTCGCACGACGGAAAGAGATCGCCCACTCTGCTCTCCCAGAATGGGTCTGAGAAGCTCTCTCCATCCCCCAGCGAGACCCAGCTGAAGCCTGCCTCCGAGAAGACCTCGGTCAAGGATCGCCTTTCTCGCATGTTCTCAACAAAGGACGTCACCAAGGTGCACGTCAATGGCGATGTCACACCTCGATCTCGCGGCCCGTCAATTAGCGGCGCTTCTTCTCCCGCCCCGCGAAAGGAATCAATAGAAAAGCCCGCCGAGAAGCTGCCCGCTGCAAAACCCAAAGAAGCCACCAAAGCCAAAGAACCAGCCAAGCCTAAGGACTCAAATCGCTTCACTGTGCTGCCCGACGTCCCGGGCGGACACGAGCATCTCCTACGGTCCAGCCGAAGACAGGAGAAGCTGTCGGACATGTGGCGAAGCATCCTCGGAAAGAGGCAAGAAGCCCCGCCCCAGCACGATCTCTCCCTGGTGTCCAACTGGGTCGACTCGCTGCGCCAGGAGAAGGAGGAGGCTGCCGACAAAAAGGCCGGTCCCCACGCCAACTCAACTTTGGTGGAAAAGTACGGCAAGTGCCAGGAAGTCGTCGGCCGCGGCGCCTTTGGCATCGTCAGGATATCTCACAAAAAGGTTGGCAGCAGCGGCGAGAAGCTGTTCGCCGTCAAGGAGTTCCGCCGCCGCCCTGAAGAGTCGGAGAAGAAGTACAGCAAGCGTCTTACCGCTGAATTCTGCATCTCTTCCTCCCTGCGCCACCCCAACGTCATCCACACCCTCGACCTGCTCAAGGATGCCAAGGGCGATTACTGCGAAGTCATGGAGTTTTGCTCTGGCGGTGACCTGTACACCCTTATCCTGTCCAGCGGCAAGCTCGAGGTCCAAGAGGCAGACTGCTTCTTCAAGCAGATGATGCGCGGCGTCGAGTACCTCCACGAGATGGGAGTCGCCCACCGAGACCTCAAGCCCGAGAACCTGCTCCTCACCACCCGTGGCGCTCTGAAAATTACTGATTTTGGCAACGGCGAGTGTTTCCGCATGGCATGGGAGTCGGATGCCCACATGGTCTCTGGACTATGCGGATCTGCCCCTTACATCGCTCCCGAAGAGTACACCGACAAGGAATTCGACGCCCGCGCTGTCGATGTGTGGGCTTGCGGTGTTATTTACATGGCCATGCGCACCGGGAGACATCTCTGGCGTCTCGCCAAGAAGGACGAGGACGAGTTTTACGCTCGCTACCTGGAGGGTCGCCGCGACGAAGAGGGCTATGGTCCCATCGAGTCATTACATAGGGTCAGTGACACTGGTTGCCTTTGCTTCCGCCCCTGAATTTGTATTAATCTATTCCACAGGCTCGATGTCGAAATGTCATCTACTCCGTTTTGGATCCCCATCCCGCACGGCGTCTTACAGCCGCTCAGGTTCTCAAGTCTGAGTGGGTTCGTGAGATTAAACTTTGCAAGGCCGGCGAAGAAGGTCTCTAAAATGGAAAAAAAAAAAAAAAATGGGTTACGACTAAATGTTATACGACAGACCGCTCTGCCTGCAGCGATGGCAATTTCGTGCACAGGGATTTTCACAATCTACGCCCTCCCCTGATTGCCACACCCATCGCCTAATTTCTCTTCCCTCTTGGCAAGCAGAGCGAAATCACATGGACGACGAAACATGATTAGACGAAAAGGAACAAAAAACACTTTTAATGATTTCATGTGGCGAAGGCAACAAAATACCCCTCGGAATTGGCAACTGGATAACTTCTTCTATTATCCATTCGTTACTACTTTTATTATACTTCTATTCTGGCGAAAGCGTTGGCGCGGCGGTCACGGCTTTTCAACTCAACCGGCGTCTATTAGGTCAAAGACATGGCGGACGCCTAAACAAGGCACGCTCGCTTTTTGCATTTTATTGGTTTGACCAGTCTTTACACGGCGAGGACTTATCATATCTTTTTGTATTCCATCATTTATTCTTGTACACACAACAGAGCATTGGCGTTTGGCGAATTGGCCGAGAGGCGCTTTGGACTGCATCAAATCAAAGAGAGAAAAAACAAACAAACAAACAAACAGAAAGAAGCTGCAGTTATATGACCCTGCGTTATTTGTTGGACGCTCTGTTGGGTATGAACCAAGGGTCTAAGCAGCGGGCAAAAGACATGCCCCCGATTCTCACCATTTTATCTTTTTATTTTTTATTTTTTTTTATTATAATTTTATGTCTTGGCGCGGGTTCATACACCCTGGCACAACTTTTTTTTTTTTTACTGCAACAAAGACTGGGGTGGCGGCATTGGTGTAAAAGCTACACACGGAGCAGAGGCGCGTTTAAAGGGAAAATGCAAAAAACAATGGATAGTTGGTTGGATAGGCGTCGGGCATTTGGGCTAGGGATAGGCTCTCTCGCTTCTTTTTGGTGGATTATGGTACAGGCTTCTACTGCTTTGATTTGGACATTTGTGCTTTTGGAATCAAGAGACAAACGGAGTCTAACAGATAAGAGAAAGCGTTGGGAGTTTTTGTTTTTTTTTCTGAGTACCTAGTTTTGAAAGATGTGCTTTCTTTTGCGATCATGTTCGCGTAGCGCAGTTTAGGTGCAAATGCCAATCAATATCAAGCGTTTGAACAATCATTACAAGAACCCAACAACAGCCTCATGTCAACATTTGCAAAGCAGTGACAAACAAAACGGTGATGATTTGTCACTTTTGCTGGAAACCAGGGGGCGAGGCAATGTGACGTGAGTGGCTTGGAGAGCTTGCATTGGCTGTCCGCGATGCCGGGATTTGCCATGAGACAAGTTGGAACTTGTTGCCCATGACTAAAGATTTTGGCTTCCCGTATCGACCGAATGGCTGGGAGCTGTGTTTCTTCAACATGACCGTTTTTGTTTTTTTTGTGGCGATGGGGCTTGGGTGCGGCGGAAGATATGGACACACCCGTACCTATACTTTGTTGCGTGTCTGTCATTCACCAACGTATGTAAGTTGAGTTTCTATCTATCCCATCACTTACTCGTATTGATTTTGGGCATCAAGAAAACGTTTTGTATGTTTTTTTGGGCTTGTTGCCCGAAAACAGAAGGGGGGGGGGGGGGGGGGGCCGATCATGACCTTTTGGGACAAGAGAGGAATGATATCATAGTTGCCTGTTTCTGTCTCTTCCTGTGGGATTTTCCGCGAGCAAAATCGGAATCACATGAACGTTTGTGGTCCGATGATGATACATATGATTTTTATGTTTATTTTAATTCTTTTTATTTTTAAATTTTTTTTTTTTGCACCCCTCTTGTATATGTAGATGAAGATGGCTTGCGGCTGTTTCCTTAAATCGCCGTGACGTACCGATACCCTCTTAATGTTGAAAAAGCTGAGATTCAGCCGAGATGACTAAGCTGGGTGCGGCTGAATGCACGCAATAAGTACCTTGAGCACCATGACAGCTTTACTGGTAGAAACAGCTCAACCAATAACTTGGAAAAGACGCAAGTTAAAAAAAAAAAAAGGCGCATTGTAAAGTAAAACTGCAATTTTGCACCACGTATAACGCAGGTCTCGTGATCATACCAATATTCAATATCAGCTTTGTACTGCGCAGACAATTGCAAGCACACGCCCGGCCCCATTCCATTCTCGGCTATAGTGGCACTAACTTTGTTCATATCTCATCACTTTCAACTCACTCATATAAAATTTACAACTTATATACGCAACACATTTATATACCGCCATATACAAACAAATATATATAAACATTTTTTTTCTTTATAAAAGAGCACAAAACAGCAAACAATGTCCTCCACAAACCTAATAAACTCGGCCAAACGCGCCGCCTCCTTCCAAGCCGTCGACGAGCACCTCCTCCCCTCGCACCGCTTCGTCGGCATCGGCTCCGGCAGCACCGTCGTCTACGTCGTCGAGGCCATTGCCGCAAAGGGCGCCTCCTTTTACGGCGACATGACGTTTGTGCCCACGGGCAGCCAGTCAAAGGGCCTGCTCAAGGCGGCGGGCCTGCGGCTGTGCAACCTGGACGAGAGGCCGGCGGACGAGCACGGCGTGCCGGTTGCGCTGGACGTGGTGTTTGACGGCGCCGATGAGGTGGACGAGGAGCTGAATCTGATCAAGGGAGGGGGCGGGTGCTTGTTCCAGGAGAAGCTGGTTGCTGTGGCTGGGAAGAAGTTTGTCGCTGTTGCCGGTGAGTTTTGAGTTTTTATATATATACAGAGCAACAACCACACACACACATATATATACTCATGTATATATATTTACATGAGAAGCATCTGCTAACAACCAACAGACTCCCGCAAACAGTCCCCCCGCCTCTGCACAACCTGGAAAACCATCCCCATCGAGGTCCTGCCCCTCGCCGCGCCCTCGGTCCTCGCCCGCCTCCGCGCAATGGGCTCCCCCAACCCGACGGTCCGCTCCGGCCTGCCCAGCAAGGCCGGCGAGTGCGTCACCGACAACGGCATGTGGATCATTGACGCGCCCTTTGCGCCGCTGCTGCTGGCCCGGGACCTCAAGGCTGGCGTGGACGGCGCCGGCAAGGACGGCGTCTGGGAGGTGGGCCGGCTGGCCGAGGAGCTGGTCAAGTTGCCGGGCATTGTCGAGATTGGCCTGTTCACGGGCTTCAACGGCGTCGAGGCGGTGAGTCTGGGCAAGGAGTTTCAGGCGCAGAAGCCGATTGCGGCTTATTTTGGAACGCCGACGGGGGAGGTTCAGGTGCAGAGAGCGACATAGACTGGGAACAAAAAGTGCAAAAGAGGGGCGGTCACGTAATGATTTAATAAGTCGAGTTGAATGAAATCAAAGAAGTTGGATGAGATGGAAGTATTACTTTAGAAGGCTGCAAGTCAAAATGAAGACAAGGTTGGATGAGATGCAATGAGCACAAGTATTCCTTGACAAGACCAAACTTCAAACATCATCACTGCAGCTCAACACACATTGTCTTCAACACGTTTGAATTACAAGCATCCATGGTGCTTTGGTACGCTCTCTGGCATCACTAGCTTACTTCAAAACGCCCATTAATCCCCCCAGCGCCTGTAGTACGCCGGCGACAAAACTCAAAACAAACAAAAAAGGAAACAAACAGGATAGCAAAGCAGGGTGATGACCGCATAAAGTCTCCCTAATATATCCATTCATCACTTCCTCCCAATGCAGAGTAATGGATCCCAAATAACCACACATCCAACGCCAAATGAGAAGAAACCATCTCCATCCCCTTTCCATATCCCGCGTTGCCTCTCCCGAGCCACACTGGTATTACGCTGTGGGCAAATCGGATCCCTCCTTTTCCCTATCCGCCATTGCTAATAGATATATATCGTAGAAATAAGTATAACACACAAAACAGGAGTGGCTACTCTTCCAGTTTCCTTCTCCTTACATGGCTAGCCTTCATTAGAAGCTTGCCGAACTGGGCCAAATATGAAATGAAGATATATCGTAATGTGTGAAAGCCTCATGTTGCCAGCCCCAGCATATCTTGGAAGGAAAGCTAGGGAGAGGATGGTGACCCTCCCAACAAGAAGCTCCGATAGACAAAGGGAAATTCGAACCCAAAAAAAAAGGGTCACCCAACAGGATGACGAAGAAGGCATAAAAATAAAAATGGCGCACGGGTTCCTTCTTTAAATAAATAGTATCATGTCACCGTGATATAGACGAGCTCTTGTCTCGTTTCGCCCAGCTTTACACTTTGGGGGTGAAAAGAGTGCTGTAGCTAATATATTGCTTTAGGAGTGAAATAGATCCCAAGCTCTGGCGCATAGCTGCATGAATTCTTCCTTCTTCGCCCGTTGTGTCTCAGGGCTGTCACGGCCGGCGCCAAAGGGGCCACGTCGGGTAGGAGGAGGGCCATAGCCCAGTGGTGGGCTGCTGCCGTCTTCATACTCGGCACGCGTTCGCCTTCTGCTGGCGCCCTGGGCAGCCTCTGGGATGCGGTTACCGGCACCAACGGGCGAAGGAGGAGTTGGGGGCTGATGGCCGCCGTAGTGGACAAGTCTGGGCAGAAGCTCTGCTCGTCCACCAGCCAATTCATTCTGAGCCTCCTCTGCAGATTTGTATTCTCTCATACGGCCAGACATGGGCGCCTGGTGAGCCGGCGGGAGGCCGGGGGACAGCTGGGGCCGTGAAGCCGCGTGGCTAGGATAGAGGGCAGAGGTATGTGGCCCATTGTCGGGATGTGTTGAGAGATTCTGGCCAAAGACATCGCTGATGGGTGGCAGGCGGTTGGCAGTCTGGTTGGCGTGCACGTGGTGGAGGTGAGAAAGGTTGGAGGCCTGGTTATGTACGTTTCTTGATGGGGGCATGTGTTGTCCGGTGAAGCTGCGGCCAAGAGGGGCAGATTGAATCACTCTTTCGTTTGCGAATTGCTGATGTGAAGGTGCAACGATGGAAAGCCCCGGGGGAGCCTTATTCCTGCGAGACATGCCTGGTGTTTTGGCGGCAAAGTTGGGTTCCTTGTCCTTGTCAGATGGCCCATCTCCCTTGGCTGACTGTTGCTGCTGTAGTCTGGCCTCGATGAGTATTCGCTGCTGCTCTCGCACGCTCATACTTCGCTGAAGCTGTTCCTTCATTGCGGGATCTTGAGTCATGAATCCAGGAGAAAGGCATGCGATGCCGACCTCTTGGATGCCCAGCCCATCGCGCGCGGTCAGCGGGTAGGCTGAGGAAGGGTTCGATCCAGCGAGTGTGTTCTTGGACAAATCTAGTCGTCTGGGTCGGGGTCTTGAAGCGGGCAGGCCGGGCGACACTGGTTCTTTCTTGACGACAATCTTGGGGTGTGCGGCATCATTTCGAGATCTATTACAACAGGGCATTTGTCAGCAAAGTGCGCTCAACCACTGTAGACAGGAAAACCAGACAAGACAGGCAATCAGAGACTTACGCGTTGGGTGAAGATTTGTTTGCGGCGGCATGGTCAGACTTGGGGCTGCCACGGTTGGGCGACTGGCTCGCGGCTGTTGCGCCTGTGTGTTGACTCCTCGGCTGTGAGGGCACCGCGTTCCTCTGTGCCGGTGGCGATGTAGAGGTTGTTGCTGCTGTGGGTGCAGGGCGGTCGCTGGCAAATGAGCTCCTCTCGTGAGGAGCCGGCGAAGGAACCATGGCGACTGCGGTGCTCATGGTGACGAGAGGCTTGAGGGTCGAGATTATACGGTCGAGAAAGAGAAAAGCAATGGGCTTCCGGGCTTCCTGAAATGAAGCTGGGCCGAAGCAGTCGACGAACCACGCAGTCGCAGAAGCGTGCGAGTGTCGCTCGAATTATCGCTGATTGTCTGGTTGACGAAATCGGGCGCAAGAGTCGAAAACGGGAACCCAGATTATGCCGAAACTGACAGGGTCCAATACGCTCTCCACCAGGTGGTACGCTTCGCGGGTGGTGTTTCTCGCTGTTGCCGGTAAAAAGAAGAACAGAGAGTAGCAATCCGATCGCGATTCTCTCAGCGTCGAATAGACTGGAAAAAGAAAAGAAAAGTCAAGGCTTGCCTTGCCTGCGTTGCAAGGAAACACACGCCTTGTAAAGCTGGCGGGAAGAGGGAGAAAAAAAAAGGCCAACTGGGGGGAAAGGCCGAGTGCGTGGGATGCGTTTCAGGAGACTGGCGATTCGAGATTGTGGTTTGTCCGAATATATTGCGATCGGGGGACAAAGTATGGAGTACTTCGTATTTGGGCTCGCCGTAAGCCAAAGCACGGGCGGCTGGGGGCTGAACTGGCTGAAATGGCCGCGGTGCCGCTGTATTGGGTACTCGCACAAGCGCCCGTAGGTCCAGAACGTTAGTGCAGCTGCATACGCCCACGCACACCAGGGGTTGCCGAGGGCGGCTCCAGGGCTTTTGCTGGCGAATGAGATGGAGGCGTTCCAGCAGACGGCTGGGCCTGGAAGTGCCTGTTTGCTGCGCTTTTTGGCACGGGTCGCCTGGATGGATGGATGGAGGGATGGAGGGACGGCTGGATGCGGTGGTCGGCGAATTAGGCGGCGCTAGAAGAGTCTTTTTTGCTTTGCGAGTGTAGGTATGAGAGAGGGATGGATAGAGACGACTTGAAGTTTGGAGGAGAGGGGAGGATTTGAAGAAACGACTTCGAAGAGGGCAGAAAGGGAAGAAGGCGGCAGAGGGCTGGAGGGGCAGGCGCCACTTGTTTTATTTCGTCGGCCGTGCCTCTGGCATGAATCGATGGAGCTCGCGGCAATCCGTCTGTGTGAATAGCCTCCCGCCAGGCCTGAATGAAAGGGGCCGGGTTCGTCACAGAGGGAGGGGGTAGCGGTGCCGTGACACGGAAGCCGGAGCAGATTTTCAGAGTGCTGGACGCTTCTGAAGCGATGGATGGGAGATGATGGATCGAAAACAGGCCGGGGGGGTGTATGGTGTATGGCAGGTTGCAGCTGAGGACTGGCATTGAGCGCTGTAGGCATGCATGGCAGCGCCAGCCAGGCTCGCCGTCACAGGCTGTTGCAGCGGCCTCGAGGGGGTGGCTCCAGCACAGCACAGCGTGGACAGCAGAACAGAACAATTCAAGCTGGTCTCTTTTTGCTCTCCATGCGGTGCATCGGGAACGAACCAGGGGCTCTCGCAAGCTGGCGGCCCTCGGCGGCCTCTGACTGGCTGCAGCGCGATCCACCGCCCCTCCGCCTCACCTGCGCTGTGCGAGGCAGGCTCTGGCCTCATCCTTGGGCTGTCCACCCACCCGCCGGTAGAGTGTTTTACCTTGCTGCTAGCACTCTTGCCAGGCGGCTTTAGGCTGCGAGCGAGCCCTGTAGGCCCTGCAAGTCCCTTGGCACTTGTCTGACTTGTTGCGAGAGGACCATTTCGGGTGGTGCTGATCATCGGCCCCCCAGCCTGGCATTGACATTTCATTTTCAGAGGTAATTTCGAGTCTGTATTTTTAGACAACCCGCAGTCGACAGACGTCAGAAGCAATTAAAAAAGACGGTATGCATAAATCAGCCAATGCGGGACAGCTCGTTTGCTTTTGCGGCAGTGGCAGTGCCATGCACGCTCTGCAATTACAATTTGATTCAATATATATACTGTAGCAATTACGCCGTGACCCCGAACCCAGCTGCCGTCTTTCGATGGATATCCATCCAGCGCCGTCGCACGGGATCCGCTACACCGCAGCCCCGGCTGATGCCACTGCCGTTTCGTGAAAATCAGAACAAGAGGCAATTCAGGCTGCTGGTGTTTCCACTAGTACAGCATCAATGACTTGGTCCTTGCGGTTATATACAAGTAGCCACAGCATGCTGGGACCGGGGGAGCCCCCCCCCGCTCTTGGTCCCCTGGTGCGGAGCGCGTATGTTCGACATTCTGCGTGGTGAGGTTGTAGCGTTTCAATGGTGAGACGCCAGCCGATACCGACGTGCCTCAGGCTGGACAAGGCCAATCCATCGCAAGAAACCTCGTAAAGGTGAGAAAGTGGGAAACAATATTCCGACGCCAAAAGCCCGCTACTGGTATCGTAGTCGATTAGCCAGCATGTTCCTCGCCATTCTCGTTGGGTGCGAGGACGATATGGGCCTGGCTAGCAGATGCTGCCTTTTTGCATGCACGAGCACAAGACTGGATGTACAAATACGGTGGCAGTTGTGGCTCGCTCCGCACAAGCGAGGGACGCAGCGCGCAGCATGCCCGGATTGGACAGCTTCAAGAAACTATTGGCATGGATTCAACCGTGCCTCGGCAGCTGCAAATATATGGACGTCTTTTGTCACGACAGGGGGGGGCGGGTGGTTGGGTGGGTTAAAGTCGCATCAAGTTGCCTTGAACTTGTTTCTTTTGCCTGGCCGCGAATCTGAAAGACGATGGCCTCGAGTCCATCGTACAAGTGGTATGACTTCATCTACCTACTACACGTATCAGGTATTCCCGAATGGAGGATTTATCTTTGCAGTGCCCATCACCCCACGCTTCACATCTACATACAAGCATGGCAGCAGTTTAATGACATCCCAGTCCCTTCCATGTGGTGGTTAAATTACCATCACGCCTCTCCACATGGCTACTCCAGACGCAAGATCTAGCCTACAACTTTGCTCCCAATAGCCATCCTCTCCATCGGTGGTCTGCTGCGTGCTAAGGGCCCTAGTCAAATTAGTTGAGAGAAACTAGCTCTCTGGCCCTGTCGATCTCGCCGACTTCCCCATTATTGGCTGATGCTAGCCGTGCTGTGGTTGCCGGGCTCAACCTATTTGTTGGTAAAGTACGAGTTGCCGGTGCAAAGTGGCCTTGGAATATTGTTTCTGGCTACATGTACACGTTGAGACAATCTCTTGGTTTGCTTTGCCGCAACAATGCCGCAAACGCTGCAGTGTGGGTATCTATGCGAGCAAATCGCCATGTTGGCAGACCTTTCTCACATGAGACTCTTGCCTGAGCCAGGTGCGTGGACTTATCCACCAGGGCTGTGCCCGTACCGCTTCGCATCTCACAAACACATGTCATATCTCTCTCCTTTCCCTCCCATATTCTCTCTCTCTGTACATCTTTCGCCTCTCGTTGATAAGCGCAATAGTCGCAAATCTGTGGCACCATGACTTCAGATGGCTCCTCAATACCACTCTGCCGTACTCAACTTGGTGATGAGGCTTCTCTACAGCCACCCCTCCTTTCAGATCCTTGCACTTAAGTACCTACATGGGGTAGTTTTTTTTTTTTTTTTTTTTCTCAAAAGGTATCGTTCTGCTTGTTGCGTGTTCCAGTGCCCTGTTGGTATCGTACGTTGTCTGCAATACAGCAAACAATAATTGCAACCTGATACCTCAAACTCACTACGGCGGCAGAAGGATTGCTAATGGTTACTAATGATTAACCAGTAGATACTTGCGACGAGTTGGCTACCTCATCTGGCTTGCTTCATTGGGGATACGACAAGGGATTCGGACAGCAGCAGCAAAATGTAACCCTTCTTGATCAGGCCTCGTATGGACAAGAATCAATAGTTCATGTTGGTTCACTTAAAGCCGACGTTGACGTTGTAGTTGTTTTAGCTGCGGCAATCAACCCGATGCCAATATGTGCATTCGCTCTCCCTGTAATTGCCCGTTGGGTGGCCCCCCCTGCACCGAAACCTGCAGCGTTTGAGCATTTCGCCACACCCGCTGTCGTTGATCGGCTCATGGTACTGGCATCCAATGTTCCTTGCCAGCTGGGACGTTTGAAACTTCATCGCCAGCTGCTCCATCGTGCTGGAACTGGCATCTCACCACCACGGGCCCCCTCCATAGGGCTCTTCTCCTCCTTCTTTTCTGTGACATTGAGGTTTGACAATTCTCCTCCATCTCCATCTCCATCTCCATCAAGGAGAAGGCTCCTCTGTCTTTTCCATTGTCAGGGTCCAGCCCCACCGCCCCCAACGGTGTCCCGCCTCGCCTGCCCACTGATTTTCGATACTCGAACGAGCTCGAGCCCCATCGTGGCTCAAGCGCGCCATGTGACAGGTACAGATACGTTACTTGTACGTTTTTCCCATAGAGCCTCGAAGTAAGCTCATGGGGGGGCCAGCCAATGGATCGTGTTTATTGCATGTGCCTGTTTCGTGCCCGTGGCAGCTTTCAATTTCTTGTTGGTGCGGTACTTGAGCGGCCCTGGCCGTCGTTGGTGACGGCAGCGGCACTGGCCAAGGCAACACGGTGCTTTGGCTTCTTCTCCCGCTTCTTCTTGCTGATGGCTGTTGTTTGCTAGAGATTTATGAGAATGCTCGAAGCTATTCTCCTTTTTTTTTTTGTTGAGGCGTTTCTCCCTGCCTGCAGGCTTAGCAAACGCACTTGCGCATGCGCCGTACGTACGTATACATGTACATGTATGTATGTTGACTGGACTGCAAAACTTGTCGCAGCCCTATTCGCGGACCCTCTCAGGATTGATGCCCGTCCCATCCATGTCAGCCAGTGCTCACATCAGACGAGGTTGCGGGAGTGGATCGAAGAAGACGATAGAGTGCTGCAACTCGTGTAGCAGCTTCATGCCGTTGACAAGCAGCCAGTTCCCCCAAATGTAAGAGATTGCCTGTAACCTCACGGCTTGGCATCTTGTCCATCTTGTCCATCTGCCAGGTATCGAGTGTCTTGTGCGACTTACAACGTGCAGCATTATGCTTGCATCTTCTGTCAATCGCACCTCTGACAACGCACCAAGAGAAGAAAAAAAAAAAAAAAAAACCAAGACACGCCCGTCTCCGCCGGGAGCTGCTAATCGCTGCTTCACCTGAGACGACGACGTCTCAGGTCGGGTGGGACGCTCTGGCAAGGCTGCAGGGGTCGGCCCCTTGATGTTGTCCATCATTCGCTCAACATCGCGCCTAGTTGGCTCGACTGCTAGCTTCGTTTCAACCCAACGCTGCGACCTCGTCAAGTCGGAATAAGAGCATGGAACGTTTATCGGGCTTCTTTGTTGTTTCATTTGGTAAACGAAGAGGCAAAGAAGAGAAAATTTTTATATACTCATCCCGTACTGTAGGTGGCCATTCTCTGGGCCTGTTGCGGCACTTGGTTCACGCATCAGACCCCTGTAGAGTTGCATGCACTCTTTTTTCTCTCTCTCGTCTTGGGACATCCGTGCACGGCGACGATCCAATGATTGTTCACCGTCGTTACACGAAATTGCTTGTGACATTGACCTGCTGCCAGTTTCCCCGAGTGGCCACCGCTGCGAGTTGAATGACTGTGACCATCGATTTCATGTTCCTTCTTTCTACTCTGCCTGTCATAGAGCCTCTTCACATGCGTTTTGGGCAAATAGGACTTGATGTGATGCAATCTTGGGTGGGGGCACATTTGCTGCCTCTCGTCCATTGCTCGTCTGAATCTTTGACTGTCTCAATTCCCTTTTGGTGCCGTGACACAAGATACGAGCCTCGTCCCCGCCGTGCTTTGCGTCACCACCACCGTCCGTATCTTGACCCTAGGGTAGTCCAGCATTATGTGGTACGACTTGGGATGCGCCTCCAAGTAAGAGAACGAGTTCTTTCCATTGAAGCTGCCATGGGAGTGCTTTGCGTTTGCCCCTAGCAAACTGAATATGACGCAATCTTGGCTGGGAGTAACCGAGAATTCTATGAGTTTTGGGTTGCGGGAGGACGGCGACGCTCTAATCGTTGGATTCTAAGCGTAGAATGCCAAGATTCATATCAGCCCGCCTGCTACTTCCACCACGCATCAAGGGTCCAATATCGTAAGAAGTATACAGCGTACAGATTAAATGATCAACATGTCGAGACCACTGTAACTACAAATATTGGATGTGATTAGTAATTGCTTGAGCACTCGCCGCTATCGTTGGCTGCAACGCTTGATAACGAGGTTATTGTTAAATTGCTGATTGAGGATGGGGCTGATACTTCCAGGTGGTTGCTAGACCAGGCTGCAAAGCATGGAAACGAGGCTACAGCTAGGAACGAGAATGGTATATGTCATGGTGAAGGCACACATGTATGTTGGTGTTTATAATATTTCCTGTCTTTGGCATTCGATTACGAACTTAAAACACAGCTCTGATGCCGTAGAAGCAAGTTCGTTATGTCTACTTCGTGAATACAGCACGTAAATTAGCGATACACCGTTTCAAATACCCTAGATCAGGAAATTGTTGTCAATATGAATAAAGACACAGGTAGACTATTCCCAACTGTATTCTGATACATTAGGCTGAAGATAGTAACCTGCAACAAGTACAGTAGTATTATTAAGTAGGAAATCGTCCAGCTCATTTCCCTGAGCGATAAATAAGTTCGATCTAAGAGATAAGATTGAATCTTCTTGTGCCTCTGCCGTTACGTGTTGCTATGTACAACAAATTAGACATTTTAACCAACAAGATGGGTAGTTCTGAGCCTAGTGATAAGCACCCGTTGGATAATGTATCGATTTACTTTTGTCTGATGCGTAGCACTCGCAGTGTAATTGTCGTGCTTATGGACTTTCGTAAAGACAACAGACACCTAGCTGCCCCTTATAGCTATAGTTGGCCGAGAGATGCTTCTGTAAATACTACTACATTGCCCATGCGCAAAAGGACCAAAGAATGGGATAAGTTGTTTGGCCAAGTGAGTGCCATGATGCATTTCATAAGAATAACACTCTACTTTTACTGTATACCCAACTGATCGGATCTGGCTTCGTTCGTAAATACCAATAGTATGATGCCAAGATATGACATGAGCAACAGTCTGTAATAATCTTTTCAAAACGGAACCAAGCTCTCTTGTTCATCTGTGACCTTCCCGCGAAGCGGCCTGGATGCTACATACGTCCAATGTATGACACGCCGTAAAAGCCTGCACAAGGGCAGTTATGTGTATATACATGGCACATAAGATACACACGTGAAAGAGCTGGTGTGAGCTGCCCCAGATGTCGAATTTGCCTGGAGCAAAGCGCTCAGGAGTTCGAGACTACAGTTACCGATCAGATCATTTGCCTTTTAAAGTAATGGAAAAGAGTAGCGAGCGTGTAAACCTACCCCATAGAGACCGACTCCGCAGCCGTAGAAGAATAGCTCTAGCAGATACCATTTCATTCCTGCATACTGAAGCATATACTCTAGCCCGTACAGTTGAACTCCATGTAGGAGCGGAATGAATGCTGATGCACCGAGCGCAATATAGGCGCCCGTCCTCGCCTTCCGCCAGCGAAGCGTTCTCAACCTGGGCATCGAGATTAATGCAGCCGTGACTGTGCCCGAAGATGTGATCTAAAAGTCATGTTAGTGATATTATATAATATGGACCTAAGTGCGGGAAAGAGGAAGACAAAAGGGGGGGCCCTCGCATTGACTAACAATCGCCCAGTGCAATTTTTGCAAGACTGGTTCACAGATGAAGATGTAGTAGATGCCCGGAATAAATGTGCCAACAGTAACAATGACAATCCCCAGGAGATCCATTCTGAGCCAGAATTGTTCTACTGCATGTGAGTGAGATCCCACTAGATGGTAAATCGTACTGAAGATCAAACAGCACTCTGCACAACAAAAAAAGATTCCAAATATGACATAGTCGGAACTCGAGACGTCGAAAAACTGAGGCTGAGAGAGAATCTGCATGACAGCAAACGCGATGAGCGGTAGGAGTAGAGCCCCGATCAGATGAGTGTACACGTTACAAGTCTCGTTGTGCAAAAACGTCAGGCTGGTGAGGATCTCCAAATAATCTCCTCTTTCAGGGCGATAGCCGCTGAGGATATATCTGTTGTCTCGTTGCCACTCGGAGATCTCATGCCATGTCACGGTTTGAGATTTAACCATCGGCCGGGGTGTAGGCGGCCCCATGTTGTCTGCATCGCTGCCTTGCACGTATCGTTTCTTAATTGCTGACCCAGACATTATCTCTCTATGTGACTAGATACATGCGCTTCGGTGTAAGAGAGGCGCTGACTCTTAACCCTGGGGTGAGTGGTCGATTTGGACGAAGACAAGGTCTTCCAAAGGCCAGGTTCATATAAGGAAGTGCAGAGTGACAAGATTGATAAGTGTTGAAAGAAAAGTTCAATGCGAATTTATATTTGCGTCTAAGATCAAACCCATTGGGCTCTGTATTTCCCCGTGCAGTGTATCTCGAGGTAGCAGCTGCTATGTAACAGGGTATGTGTAGTTATGAGAAAGCAGCGCTCCCACGAGATAAATGTAGCTATCCAATCTTGCTAAACATGTAGTGGTATCTAAGCTCTTGAGTCTGTGCACATGTACACACTCGTGGTCGCACTTGGAATGAGTATATGCAGACATCAACTCTTCTGCCTCTAAGCCTTCTCTAATGGAGCGGAGATGAGCCTCTGACTTTTTAATTGCGAGGTTTCTGGGTGCGAAACCCTGGATCCCGATGATATATAGGCTCTACCGGGAAGTTTTTGCGTGCTTTTTGCTAAAAAACTGCCGAAAATGTAAACGCTGTCCGCTTTGTTGAGGTCACAAGTGCTCGAGGTCATTGCACGCAAGTACATGCACGTATATGAGGCTATCGCCGAACGGTGAGGCAAAAAGGAAGCTGAGATCGACGTACTTAAATAAACTGGTAGCTGCCTCTATAATACATGAAGTCTACGAAATACAAGAGCACTGTTTGCTCTTTGAAAGCGCCAACAAGATCTAAGCAATCCTTATCAAAATAACCATCCGTGCCAAAAAGCCCATCATCAAATATTATCTCATTCACCACAGCGCCCATTATTTTGACATCTGGCAGTGCCTAAGTAAAATTTTACGCTTATTGCTATTATATCGTGAAATATTTGTATTCTACAGTGATTTTCTACACTATTTAGCATTGACTCTGTAGCCCGTAGGCCTCGCACGATGATTTGTTGTGGTGTATAGTGGAAGAGGGATTGAAAGTGGACTTTCACTTCGAGCATTTCACTTGGAACTCAGCCAGAGTGGCAGCCTGAAGCTCACAAAATACTCGTAACTGACTCCAACTCGATATCCCGGTGGTCTATTATGGGTATTGCCAAACTGGAAAAAAAAAACATGAGCAAGTGTTCCAACCCCAATGCGATGCTTGTTGCATTGAAGGTATTGGCTTATTCAGTAAGTGCTATGGTTCATCAGCAGCCTATGGATAAATCGTGGAAAATAGCCTTACTACAAGCCCGACCATAGTTGTTTCTACTTATATTCCATGTCATTCGGCAATGAGAGCATTCAATGCATATATCAAGTCTTTTAGGCACGCGCTTCTTCTAAGTTGAACTGTTCATGCTCTAACTTTGAAAGCCATAGACATCTAGAGCCGACAATCTCCAGTCACTCTATTCGATGTCAGAACTAAGCTACGTTAAGAGCGCGCGACCCTACTAAGAAATGAGTAACGCTGAAGATGGAAATAATATCTTTGCACATTGCAAAAAGCTTTATAATGTGATTTAGCTAATTCACAAGGCTTCGACAGCAGCTGGGATGAGCGGTAAGAGTACATATAGGATCGCGTCCAAAAGAGTGCATATTACATGTACACGTTACTACAAATTTTGTTGCGCAAGAACATTATGGATCCTCAGATTTTCTGCTTTCCCGGGCGGTGGCCCCTGAGGACGTGAATATATTTAGTATACTGCCGTCAATTGGTGAGTCTCGTTCGTGTTACGGCACCATAGGCGTGCTGAGTATAAAGCTCAGGGGTGGTGGATTACGGGGAACATGAATATGCGCGCGTTTATATCCTAACCTATATACTGGACTCTACTAGCCGCGCGCCTTCAACGAACTGCCGCACCCAGATAGCCGCCTGGGAGCGATATGTGCGATGATGGCGCAAGAGCTGGCCCTATCAACTGTAGTTCGCGGTTCCTTCTGTTGTGCTGTTGTACATACCCCCCGAATTAATTGCTCAATTTGTAAGAGTTCTGCGTCCCAGCCTCGTGTGACGAAACTCAATCGAAGCTCATTGAATCCTTCAATGCGCAAATTCTAAATATACGGTGACGGATCACAATAGCTTGCAGGGCTACTAAGAATAGCTTTAGTTTCTATGTTGGTCGAAGATGACCGGAAAGGTCAACACCGCCTGCTTTATTGAAGGAACGGTACGAAGCCGAGGTGCAGACAGACGTGTATCTGTAGCACGAAATTGATCACCTGGACGATTTCAACCCCTAGTAAGTACCTTAGTAAAAGCATTAAACCCGTTTCTATATGACTCTGATCGGGTACAACCCTCTGCCAGTGGCTGTATTGCAATGTCAATTCTTCGCGTGTGCAGCAATGGGAGCCCGAGACTGTGTGGGAGATAGATGCCTTCCATAAACCGCCCATGCGGGCCGGAAGTGCCATGCCGGTTAGGCTATGCTGTTGGTGATAGCTTGTGACTGCGTTGAAGAATTTTTGCCGTTGGCTTATGCGGCTGCATGGGTAGGGCGTCTTTAGTTCTATCTAGACGTAGAGAGTGCGAAAAGCACACCATGGAAAAGCCCATGGAAGTGGCGATGAGGTGTATATAATTAGAGCCATTCTGGGGCACTAACAATAGGCGCCCGCCTAGGCTCGTGAGCCCAAACGGGCCGCTCCACACGAGCCATGCGGGCCGCTGAAGAGTACATTTACTCCAATGTATTGAGTACATGTACATGTGCGCTAGAGCAGCTCAGGAGGAAAGCCTCGAAGTACACCGTTTCCATCCCCAAGAATGCATAAATAAGACGGCTTCTCTTCATGGAAATGGATTCAATCAACAAGATCGAATCAAAGCGACCTATTTACTCTCAATATCTCAATACCTTTTTCTTTCTTTCTGTTTTTATTGTGAAGAAACAAGAAAGCGTCAATGTCTCACTGCTGTACAGTTTCGTTAATTTTCATTGCTTGAACTGTTCGTCAATCCACATTTCACTGTCACCGCAACGCTAACAAGCCAGGTAGAATCTGAAATCCGAACCTGAAATCCGACAATCATGGCGAAATTCATGAAGACTTATTTTCTATGCCCAACATCAGAGTTCATCCGTCCGCCCCCGGATGGTTCGTTATTTCTTGGCTCCATAATTCCCTCGACATCAGTGCCCGAGTCCTCGTTCAATAGGGAAACTAGCCTTCCCTTGGTGAATGTAGACCAGCCTGTTATTGAGACAGATTGGAAGAAGACGGTTTCAGCTGAAAATAAATTCGGATTCGGTGTTTACGCGCAGTTTCTGAAATGTTCAGGCTTGGGCCCTGAAGTGGATTTTGACCGGTCTAGCAAAAGATCGAGCATATTTGCGTTTGATGAGGTGACGACTGTGTCGTTTCAGCCAACGCCTGAGTATGTTACCGAAGCCATGAAAGCACCTACGGTGCAGTACTGGCTGAATGAGCCCAGACAGCGCTTTAGCCCTATTGTCTCGCTCTACCTCGTCACGGGTATGAAGCTTGTCAAAGGCGCAAATATCAAGTACTCGAGTTCAGAAAGTACTGGAATCAGTGCAAATATTGGTGTTAACATACCCTCGTTGGGCTTAACTTTTGGCCCCAAGGGCAGCTGGAGTAGAGTCGAGGACGATGAGACGGAATTTAACCGAACTTCCGAGTTTATTTTCGCATTTAGCGTCAAGAGGCTCAGGATTACACGCAAGGTCAAGATTGAAGAGTACCATAAAGGTGCTTTCTTGTCTATTGGAAAAGATGAAGATGGCAAAGAAACAGACCCTATTTTGGTGGATGACGTGGATGGTTCTAGCTTCGAAAATGCCGCAGCTGTTCACGATTCTACAGAGAATGAGAGTGTTTACTGTGTTCCCTGTAATTAGCTTATTCGATCTTCTAGGATGGTTTGAAAGAAGCTTATGACTCTGGGAGTTGACTGAACTACTCGAGAGTTTTTGTCGTGTATTATTGCTTACCAATAATTTGATCTTGTTGCAAATAGGCTTCCTTGATATATACTTCCTGGATAGCGGCGGTAATCACAGTTTGCTATTCTGTTTTGTGAATCGTGCTCTCTGAAACCGCCTCCGTTGAATGAACTTCTTCGGCCATAGCCCCACTAACACTAAATTACTTCTTGCATCCAAGCCTCGTTTGTGCTGGCAGCAAAGACACTAGTTAGGTAGTTCAAAAATAGCAATATCAGCATTGGATAGATAGATACATTCACAATCTTCCTTTGAACCGGGACTGGTAGTAGGCTTATACGCGGATAGCCATTAGTTCCCAGAAATTCAAGGGGTTTCAAGATTTCTATCCAAATAGTTCAAATTCTCTGGAAGGGTCATGCAGAAAAGAAAAGGGGTCAAGGGGCCTCTATTTCTCTTTTTTAAATCCCGTATTTTGTCGTAAATTCTGGAGATCATGTTCATCGAGTAAACTCATACAAAGGCCGCTTCGGGCATAGAACAGCCAATTTATCATCATCTGGAAACTTCTCTGGAAAATATTTATAAGTTGGGCACAGACACCGGAATAATTAATGATTCATATTTCAGGCGCACATGTCTCCAGAGTTGTGCGGGCAATAACTTACTGGCTTATGAGGAACACTAATAGTATCACAAGTCGTTAAGAGAGTGTAGACTATGCTCACGGAGATAGCTGTTTGCACATGAAACACATGAAGATTAAGCAAAATTGATATGAAAATTGATGTAATGTGAAAGGTAGATTGTGCGAAGCTGTTGAGAGCGATTCCATGACCTATTAAAGTGATACTCGGTGTTTGCAGCACTCGAGTACACAAAAAATAGACATGCACCCCTTACAACCAAATACACGAATGTGGCTTCCCGTATACCTCGGCACCTCCGAGCAATCATTGGCCGCTCTGTGTGTCGACGCATCCGAGTCATGAACTCCGGAAGAGTCCCATTGCGGGAAATGCCATCAACTTCGTGCCCATAGCTCCTCTTCAAGGCTGGACCCCGCTCACATCACACGACCATGCCGAATAGATGGTGATAGAGTCGGACTGAGATATAGTCTCTGGGGTCCAGGGGCAGTTGACGGTAGTCGTGCCGCCATTGAGGCCGACCGCTGTGACAGAGATCGACTTGTCACCCGAGTTGTCTGAGTTGACAGTGAGTCCCACAACTCCAGCAAATGTCATTTGAAATGGACAGCCCCATCTTCCGCAGAAAAGAGCCACATCAGCTGCTGGACAGTCGTCTGTGGGTTGATTACCACCGAAATTTCCCGACGCTGTTTCTGAACCAGTCGATGCTTGCGCCCAAAGCCCACAGCCTATACCGGGCTCAGGCCCTGGAAGGCCGGGAACAAGGACAGCAGAGTAGCCGATTTTAGCGACCAAGGAGGCGGAAGCAAGCCTCGAGGCGCTCAACAGCAGGAAAAGAGCTGACGATGGTTTAACAAACATAGTTGCTGATACCAGTGAGTTAGCAAGTTTACTCGCCGAAACTTTGCTTCATATGTAGAATATAGTGTCCAAGAAGCTTACCGAGAGAGAAGACGTGTAAGTATAGCGAGATGAATGGTGTAGAAGTCAAAGTGAGTTGTAATTCGATGCTTCTACTCAAAGAAAAGGTGGTTCAAAGACTCTATTTGTATTAAAAATCAATCCTGGGTTACGAAATCATCGAATATCTTGTCAGCAGGAGTGTGGAAGTCTTTCCTGAGCCTAATATCTCACACGATAGTGGAATAATCAAGATATTGCTCGTTGATTCTCACCTGCCGGCACTCCGCCTTGGCCTGTCTTGGCCTGTCTTGGCTTCATGCGTGCCAAGGGACTCGCTGGAATAAACGCTTAGAATTGGTGGAACTATTTCACGACATAGCTACTTTCTCCGAACAATAGTCCGTTCTGACGAAATGACGTCGTATAGATCGAAACCGGCCTATTCCATACTGACCTATTCCATACTGACCTATTCCATACTGACCTATTCCATACTGGCCTATTCCATACCGGCCTATCTCATACAGTCAGACTGTTAAACCACTTCTTTCTCATCATCTGTCAGATATGCCGGTTGCGCTTCATGACTGACAGCCAATAGCAACTGATTTTTCGAGTAAAGTTGAGGATGTAAGCTAAGGGCTTTTCATATTTCGCTGCTGTTATTAAACAAAGTCACTTATGCTTAAAATCTTATCTGAAATTTAGCACACTATTTTGTTCCCTGACAAGACTGCTAACGATTTCAACGTTTGAACTTAGAGCTTTTCCTAGGGTGCAAATACTAGTGCTGATGAGCTTACAAACTCTATCGGTAACCGAATCCACAAAATTGAAAGCTATTACGGCATATAGGACATGATCAGCAGCAACAGGGATAAATTAGGAAACCGCTGGCTCCAGGGTGAGCACATATAGATTCCTCAGGTCAGTAACCCCCTATCCTTTCTACATACAAGTAAGAAGCTTATTTACTATCTTCATGCCGATCCTAATCGATGCCCGCTGCGTATTTGTACCTTTCTAATTGGTCCAAAACTCTTTCTACATGAGAAGCTTATTTACTATCTTCATGCCGATCTTAATCGATGCCTGCTGCGTATTTGAACCTTTTTAATTGGTCGAAAACTAGGGCTTGGGTCGAGTAGAGCCCGAAATTTCTCTCAGACTTTTCAACTGACCGACGGGCGTTTACAAGCTTGGCATTTGACTTCGACCTTGGCCAATTTCCGTCGGTTAAAAAGCACGTATTTGTCTAGAGTTGTTATGTAACAAAATTAAGAATAATATGTTTCAAATGCTTACGAATTATTTGCTTCATCAGCGAGTCATCAGAAGAAGAACTAGACACCAAGAAAACCACCACGACAAATGCGCTTGCCATTGAATGAAAACTGAAAAGAGCTACAAACATCACTCTTGTAATTATGGACGGCGACGGCGGTATGAACAGATTTGCTTGCCTTGGGGGAGCGGGTTTTCGCTCCTTCTTGGGCATAGGGCCCTTCTCGTGGCGGTGAGGAGGTCGAACGATCGCGTCGTAGTTACTGAGATCGAGACTTTGTGATCGAGATCTCGTGACAGGTTTCGATGAATTCAGTCGATCGTGACGTCGTAGGCAATTGCTACCATATCGTAGATCTGGCTACGTGCAACGTAAAAGGTCAAACCTCCAACGTGAGGCCCTACGGATCAACAGCGTAGGTACACGTTTGTGAGGTCAAAAAAGCTTGATTCTGGCTATGGTGCGGGCTCTACTGTAACTATATATATGGGTGTACCTCCTATCTCCTTCCTTCTCTGGGGATGTCAGGAGTCCCCCAACACCATTTTGTTCATTATTTCGGCTAAATGACTATAGACTGCATAATCATCCTTTGTCTGATTATGCCTCAAACATTTACAATTTTCTCTTATGGCATCACAGCCGCGGACCTTGATCCCAAGTAACATTTTGGTCCTCTTATGATGGGCTTTGATAGCTCCCGAGTACGATTGGAGCCTTGAAGTCAATATACATGTAGATCTATAGATTTTATGAAGAATCACATAACACTCTAGGAGTAAACCTTATCGCTGTACTGTACACTTGTATCCTTTTCTGTTCAGACTCTGCGTACCTATGCAAGCAGGATTCACGCCTTTCGTTGATCTGACCAATGTAAGTCTTCGTTCCGTTATGAGAGCTTACGCAAGGAGCGTCGCCAGCATCTTATTCCGGGATGAGTTAGTGATCAATTTCAATTCATATTGCAATAGATTGGTTCTGCCACCCGAATCAGCATTTGTAGTCACTTGTTCCGGCTGTAGAGTATGTACGTGTGTTCCTATTCCTCCACCGGACGCTGAAAGTTTCCTTCAAGACGAATATGCAAGTGCTAGCAATATAGTGTCATATTAAAATCAGCTAACCAAAAAAATGGCCCCTATGGCTCAGCGGTAGAGCGTCGCACTCGTAATGCGAAGGTCCATAGTTCAATTCTGTGTGGGGGCAGTTAATTTTCTTTTTATTCTTCTTTCCTTTTTTTTTTTGTGATTTATGTTTGTTTTTGTTTTGAGTAATAAACGTTTTAATTCCTATTACAACAATGTTCCGCAACATATTTTCCCCCGTAATCATCCAAGAGCGGCTACCCGATAACAGGCCCATTGTCGCGACCATCAGCCAGTTGTTCACTACTCGATATGGAGGAAGTAATTGGCGTCTCTCTTAATTATACATCTTGCATACCATTTTCAAATGTGTTTCGGTGTGCTCTTCAGCTAAATATCGCGATAGCTGCCACCCGGTCGAGCTTGTATTGTAACCTGCAATGCTAGACAGTCTATTTGCTTTCGTGGTGTCTTCTCTTGTAGTGGTTGTTATAACATAAGTAAGTGCTTAATAGATAAAAGCAGTCAAGATATTGGACAGTGATGGTATCAATCTATTCTAGCTCTATAAGTTTTATTTACTCTATTGTCTGCGAGTCACCCGCGGAAATATCTCATGTCCTGTACAACCAGCTCAGCAGCGCCAATGAGACGAAACCTCAATACATAATGACGGCATCTTTTGGTGCATGATTCAGTGAGATGAGCATGTTCGATTAGCGTAATTATAGTCAAAAGCAACCAATATCCCAATTAATTGGGCCACAGTGGCAAAGACTACAAAAATGTGAAAGAGTTGGTGAGAGGAGCCGTATATATCGAATTTACCTGGAAATCGGCTCTCAGGAAACTTTGTCTGTAGAATCATCGTATTAGAAAACTTCCATCGTATGCGAAATCTGGAGGCTTACGACATATATCAAGGCCCCAGACAAAAGAAACCCCGCTTCGGCCAGATAATAGGGCATTCCGGATTGCTTCATCATCTGTGACCAGCCGAACATCGTAACCCCATGTATTAAGGGTGCAAAGCCAGATAAGCCAGTGCCTACGAACGCAAGCGCGCGAAAAACACGGAATTTCTTGCCTTGGAAATAGGGATTTACCATGATGAAGATGGTAAGTGACCCGAGAACTCCAATCTGCCAACCAAAGTAAGCATTAGATGGAAGGAAGGGATGTCAATCTTGACTCACCATAGACCAGTAGATCTTGCGCTCCAAAGGCTCACACCAGAAGACCATGTATATTCCTGATACAAAGTCCCCTAGTGTCAGGACAACTATGCCCACCAGGTCAAATCGTAACCATAATTGTTCAACTTCAGATGAGTGGTTCATCAGCGTGTGATATGTCGTTGACAGTCCTAGGCAGATGACAGCAGTCAAAAGGAAGAAGCTGATGATGAAGATATCAACGCCAGTGATATGAGAGTATCTACTTGTCAGATACTGTATAATATACCACTCGCCGAGTAGAAAGACGACGGCTGGTATTAGGTGGGAGTATATGTTGACAGATTCATTGTGGATGTATGACCAACTACGGAACGAAAGCCGGGCTGAGCCTGAGATCGGGCGATAGCCATGAAGGATGAACTCGTTATCTTGATGCCACCTCGGGAGCTGGTCAAATGAGAGAAGCACTTTGCGTCCCTTGTCAGCGCTCGGTGTGCTGCTCAAAACCCGTGGGCTAGTAGGGGACATGGAATTATCCCCCCGTTCTGTGTGTGCCATGGATGGATGCGGGGAAAATCGAAGACGGGTAGATGCCATGGCTATCGCGTCGCGCCTGACGATGGATGAGGTGGGAGGTGGGAGACTGGAAAAAAATTGAGAAAGGAGGGTTTCAGCTGCTTTGTTTCCTGCACTGCGCCCTCATCTTTCTTTGTCCTTGTAGCCCTAAATTTGCGACGCGTGCTGGGTGCTTTTGAACCAACCACGTTGCGTTGCTAACCGCCCGCCTATCAAGCAACTCCGTTGTCGACTCAGAACATGTACACAATACATCAGCACGGAAAAGCAGATACATTGCGGAAAAGCAAATGCGTTTCGTCGGTGTCGACTGAAACCCTTCCTATGCTGTTTGTCTACGGATACAACCAACCACATGCTGCTTGGTACGAATACGCAAGCCACTATTCCGCGTATACCAATAGGAAACAGTGTCACAAGGCTGACTTGTTGTCTCCCCTGGTTGACCACTTGCGTGTTCGTCCAATGATAAAAATGCCTCATACTCGAAGCTGCAGCTGTTGCCTGTAGTTCAAATAGTTGTCAGCACGAATGCAAGGCAACCAAATAGTAGAAGGGCGCGGATTGCTTGTCCGCGGATTGCTTGTAGTTCTGTGAACGACTGCTGTTTAGTTGACGACTGGGGGGGCTGCGAACTGAGAACTGAGGGAGGGGGGTGTGAATCGACAGCTTGTGGGTGGGAACTTGATTGGCGATGAAACACGTCTGCGCCTAAGGATTAGCTTTTATAGCTAAAAATAATTTCCGCGGCTGGCCGCAGCCACAGGCCGGTTAGTTGCCGCCAGTAGTACGAGCGACATGCAGCTGGGAGTAAAAGGAACAAAGCTTAGGTACATGTACTGTAGTTTCTCTTGTGTGCAATGCACTGTAAACATCTTTTAGCCGACAAAAAGGAGATAAAAAGAGATTGCAGCAGAGGAACCAGCCTCTTTACAGGACTTGAGCAAGGAAGAACCGAATCAACTCATCTACCTATCTAAGCCACTAGGCTACTCTACATGTATATGCCTGGATTATATTCAACCCCAATTCATTAGCACGCTCGTCCACTAGCTGCAGCCAGTACATGCACCTTGATACATGTGCCTTGGCTATAGCAAGCGGCCTTGTCTTGATAGTATTTTCAGTGGACAATGAACCGTATAAACGCTTCCCGACGGCCTCCTACATCTGCTTGACGATTGGAAACTTACAAATTTGCTGTAGAGTGCGCATAACAGGAATGTACACCCGTGTGGTTTGCAAGCGCATTGCTGCATGTACTTTAACCGCCTTTCAACTCTCATAGCCGCCTGTAGCCATGGCAGGATCTCTTTTCGGAAAACCACCCCGGCCTGGTAGCACCACCTTAGGTGGAATGCTTACAAGTACTAGTAGGTATCCTGAAGCGGGGGACTTACTGGGGGTAACCAACGCTCTGGCAGCCTGTGGTTCCCACCTGAGGCCCAGGGCTGAAGCTGCATTTGTCCAGGTAGGTAGGTAGGTTAGGTAGGTAAGCAATCAAAACATGAAGTTCGTCTGTCCCTCGCGTGTTTGTCTCCTGCATGCTCCTTGTTTGACGGATTCACTGATTATTCGAGTACCTAGTTGTTTTGTTTTGCTTTTCTTTTCTCGCCCACATCAACCCATTCAATGTTCAAGAAGGCCAGCCTCGCTTGCCCCTTGCATAGACAATACTAGACAGTCCAGACAGCTTCAAAGTAAGACAGCACGTCGACACTGTACTTCTACGAGTTTCTTGTTGTGGAGCTGAAATGGCGTCCCGCGACGACTACTTAGTCGGGTGGGTTTGCGCACTACCGGTAGAGGTTGCGGCAGCCAAAGCGGCGCTTGATAGCGTCCATGATAGCCTCCCTCTGGATCAGAGCTTGGACGACAGCAATAACTACATTCTAGGGAGTCTTCAAGGCCACAATGTCGTGCTCGCGTATCCAAATGGTGGCGTGTATGGTGAAGCATCGGTGGCGAGCGTGGCCACACAGTTGCAAGCGAGCTTCAAATCTGTTCGGTTTATTCTAATGGTTGGCATTGCGGGAGGAGTTCCGGACACGAAGGAGGATATTCGACTTGGCGATGTTGTTGTAAGCAAATCAAAAGCTGGCTGGCCGGGTGTCGTCCAATTCGATGTGGATGGAGAACAAGCGGAAGAGCAAGATCAATTGGTTCGCGGCAGAGCGCCACACCAGCCAGCACCATTACTTCTCACAGCTATAGGAAAGGCCGAGACAGCCGCCATTTTTGATGAGAGTCAGATGCCCAAATACACTTCCGGCATCGTTGAGAGAGACCCCATCACGTTTGCCCATCCAGGCACGGAGCAAGACGTTCTCTTTGAGCCAGATTGTGACCACACAGCTACTGAGTCCGAAGAAGACGGATGCAGTCATTGCAATCCGGATAAGATCCGGCCCCGGCAGCCACGGGAAACACAAAATCCTGTAGTTCATTATGGTCTGATCGTCTCGGGGCGTTCTCTGATACGCAACGGAGCCACTCGGGATAAGTTGGCACACAAGCAGGGTGCCCTCTGTTTAGAGACAGAGGCCAGTGACCTGAAGGATGCCGCCAAGTATTTGGTCATCCGAGGAATCTGCGACTATGCAGACTCGCACAATTCCAAGCTCTGGCACGCCTACGCCGCGGTAACTGCTGCAGCATATGCAAAAGAGGTCCTTTCATTCATACCTGCAGTTCCCAAGACGACATCTCTGGCAACAAACACCTATGCAGAGGCCGCGCCAGTCCTCGACGCTTTGCTTTTGACCAGACCTGAAGTTGACCGGAAGTCTCTCATTGCCTTGAAAGGCCGCAGAGTCGACGGCACCTGCGAGTGGCTCATACAACACTCTAGCTATCAAAGGTGGCTGGCAGATGCCAATCTGCCACTGCTCTGGATCTCAGGCGGACCTGGAAAGGGGAAAACTATGCTGGCAATCTATATTACCGAGGTGCTGGAGCCAAATGTTGATGCCCACGGAGATGTTCTCCTTTACTACTTTTGTAGTAATCGCGATAAGAATCGGAATACTGCGCTGACTATCATGAGAGGCATCATACATCAATGGATCGGCCGCCGTCCACACCTAGCACAATATGTCAAAAACTCCTTTGAGGGGACTGAAACAACTAAATATACCGTTTCCAGCTTTGTCTCCTTGTGGAGGGTGTTCTTAACCCTGCTTCGGCAGAGTGCATCATCCCAGGTGGTCTGTGTGCTGGACGGTCTGGATGAATGCGAAAAGGAATCGCTTAAGCAGCTTCTCGATGCCGTTGGTAATTACTTGTCCAACTCTCAGGAAAAGGCAAAGCCACAACTGAAGCTTATATTTCTCTCTCGACCCCAGCCGGCTATTTTGGAGAAAGCTCTAGGCCAATATGAGCAGATCAAGTTGGACGCCTCCGGCACAGAGATTTCGGACGACATCGAGAGATACATCTTTGCCAAGGTTGCCGAACTGGAATCCGAACAAAACCTCTCAGAAGAAAAGGTTGCTCAAATCAGACAGACCCTGTTGGCTGGCGCTGATGGAACCTTTTTGTGGGTTGGATTTGTTGCCAATGAGCTTCAGGGCAGAAGCTGGGATAAAATGAATGAAATTCTCCATCGTGTCCCCAAAGGCCTTGGTGGAGTCTATCAGCGGCTTCTTCAGCAAATCGACGACAAGGAAGCATTGGTCCCCATTCTTCAATGGGTTGTTCTCGCTGCCCGACCCCTCACACTGGATGAATTGACAGTGGCCACAGGGATAAAGGCATCTGGTAACATGCCGGCAACTGAAGTGACCAGAAATCGGCTCAGACTCTGCGGGCTACTCGTGAAAATCGAAGGACGCGTGGTCAATCTGGTCCACGAATCGGCAAAGGAGTTCTTCCAGAGCGATCAAGTCAATATCAAAGGCATTAGCATGTTCCGCATGAACCACGACACGCACAGGACACTTATGCGGACCTGCTTAGAACACGTCGAACATGGATACGGAACTCCCAGAAGTACCGATGAGAGCTCTGACCACGATACTCTCTTGACTTATGCCAGCCACTACTGGCCGGTCCATTTCCATCACGCTATGGATGTGATTGATGTGCCGTCCGAGTTTTCACGTCCGTTCTTTGAGGTGAATTCTCACATCCGGGACGAATGGTGGAAATTCTACTGGGCGCAGGAGAAGAATGGCGGAAACCCGCCCTCGTTCACGCTCTTGCATCTCGCTGCCTATCTTGGCAATGTAGCCTGGGCTGAGCTGTTGATCAACGAGCACGCCCGTGCCATTTCGCGAAAGGACAACTACGGCCGGACGCCGCTTTCCTGGGCCGTCAACCGAGGCCACCGAGACATGGTCGAACTCCTGCTTGACCACGGTGCTCGTATCAATGTCAAGGATCGGAGCGACTTGACGGCACTCCACGTAGCAGTAACCGGACAGCACAAGGACATTGTGTCTGTGCTGATCGATCGGGGTGCCCGTCTCGAGATCAAGTCTGAGCACGGCGACACACCACTGGTTCGAGCCATTCAGGCGAATTCTAGGGAAATCATCCAGATATTGCTCGAACGAGGAGCGCGCGTAAACAAATTGCCAACCCCTCCCGGAGTCGCTTCCCTAAAAGGGCCTACGGACCCAATGGAGGAGCGGGTGGAAGAGCTACTAGAGCTCCAGGAGCCGATTTTCCTTGCACGATATAAGCAGGCGTCGCAAAAAGTCGAAATGGTCATGAAGGCCCTGAGCCTTTCATTCCGCTTTCCCATCATTCCTCGATTGATGACGCTATATCTGAAGTTTATCGCGTTCGACCGCTGGGAGCACATGTCTGTACTTCAGGAGCTTGTTGACGAGAACAGAACAGACGAACTGCGAGAATGGGCCGAACAATACCGCGAGTTCTTCAACCAGCTGGTTTTTGCCAGGAATCCGAGAAGGTTGATGGCCATGACCGACCTGCCGACGCAGATATTTCAGGCCGTCGCCCCTGGAGATCTCCAAGCACTGCTGGTAATCGCGGTCCTCGTCGGCTCGGAAACTAAACTCACAGCTGTTCGTCAAGGATGGAGAGAAGGGGACACCATCACGGCCAGAGCATTCTCACATTGGGCCGCCATCGCCTACAACAGAGACGCAGAAGAGTACTTGCACTATGGCGTTCGCGAATTTCTCAATGATTTCGATGACTGTATTCAGCATGGCAACAGCCGGGAAGACAACGTGGCTCGGACGGTGGTGCTCTTGACATCGCAATTCGCCATGATTGAGAATAAAGAGCCAAAGCCGATCGAATACTTCTCCAGGGTCATCGCAGAATTCTACGAGGGATACATTGGCAGCAGCCACGAGGTTGAACTGTTCAGTGATGTGAGCCAGGCATGCGCCAACGAGCTCGTCGTCATCAGCGAAACCCACGATTCCGACAGATTGCTTCTCTTCCTGACCAGTATCCTCCAATTCGCCCAGCGCTCTCAGGACCAGGGACAGGACCGCTTTCTCAACATACTCCCTGCATCATGCTTGCTTCTCTGCCGGGAAAATGCGCTCGCCCACCAATGGTTGATTGGCGAGGCAATCCCAGAGATGTTTATTGCCTTGATATCACAGCAACCTCCTGGATCGCTTCAGAAACGAGCGTGCAAAACTCTTGTGGAGTGTCTGATTATTAGAAAGCAATATGGTTTGGCGGCGCCTTCGGCGGCACTGGGCCAAAGAGTGAAACAGCATCTGCACTCATTGCCAGGAGTCGAAAATATGATAAAGGGAATCCATGGTTTATAAGTTGATGCTGTGTATTTTTGCTACCTGAGAAAAGTTCAGAGCAGAGTGAGAGTTAAGTTGGTAATGAAGAGTAGTTGGGCATTGGTAAGAGAGCCGATTCTGTGTATTTTGAGCAAATTGATGCCACTTTTGAGCATCTTCTTTCGTTTATATCTTTTTGCCAATCGCCACTTCCAAGGTTGTGTTTAATTGAATCAAGAATCCTATATCTTAATTTATAATATTACTATAGTATGTATTTTGCAATAATTTGTAAAGACTCCAAGAAATTCGGCGTAGAGTCTTACTTTACTTGTCTAATTACAGCTCAAAGTATATTCCACAACCACATCTTCCCCCACTTTCATCTCTACGGAATATGAATTCGCTATCGTATCAGTCGTTTCCAAAAGCGTGTTGCGCGGGACCGGACTGTCTCCAATTTTCGCTTATTGTCGTTTGTTTGGGGTGTAGGTTCCAGAGCTGAATTATCTGGCAATCTACGTTTGCCATTTATTTGGTCTGTAGTCTCTGGAGCCGAATTATCCGGGAAAGATGGCGCTGACGAAACCAGGACAGGTGATAACGATTGATCTAGCACAGGGGGGGTCGACTGCCACGCCATTGGTGAAATCAACTCGTCCGGGGCAAATGAGACTGTTCGATGCGGAACAGAGAATTGGCCTTGGGCTCTAATTGCAAGTCTAATCTTGCGCTCTACCGCAGGGTCGGTACCTCGCTTTTTGTAGCCAGCCCGGTTAAGTCGTCGTAAAACTTCGCCATTCGAAATAAACTCTTCCCAGGTTTTGCGTCCTACTGGAAGGATATTGGGATCCGCACCGTTATCAAGAAGCAGATCCATGATAGAAAGCATGCGCTTCTTCACAGCGTAGTAGAGCGCGGTCCTTCTTCCAGAATTTGAGTCATTAACGTCCTGACCCGTTTTGATGAGGAGTTGTATCATAGGAACGTTGCCTGAGATAACAGCCTGTCGTAAGCCTGTGACTGCCCTGCAGCAGCGTGACTTGCTGAAAGCCAAGTTACTGGTCGCTTTGTAGGAATGGCTGCTTGAGCTGAGATCTAGCCAGTCTTCTGCAGTGAGGCCACTCTCATCAAACAGGGCCCGAGTCTCTGCAATGACGGAGTTGCCAATCAGGACATCGAGAGTAGCCAAATCTCGACTATGAATAGCCAGATGGAGAACAGACCAGCCATGGTTATCCTGCTGAGAGACGCTGGATCTTACGCGGTCGTCCTCGAGGAGTAGTTGGACAATTTGAGAATGCCCCATGAAGGCGGCGTGATGCAGTGCAGTCCAGCCGTGACATGTCGACTTGAGCGGGTCGGCTCCTTGTTGAAGAAGCAAACTCACAATGGAAATGTTTCCTCCGTTTGCAGCACAGTGTAGCGGTGACGTGCCATAAGAGCTGACAGCATGGGCATCGGCCCCCCGGTCCAACAACAAGCGCACAATCTCCACGTGGCCCTCCTCTGCTGCCCAATGTATTGCGGACCAACCATCGCGATCACGATAATTCAAATCCGCGCCACGACTGAGAAGCATTTGTACGACGTGAAGGGCACCAAAACTTGCCGCGTCTTCCAACGGCACCATCTGCGTGTTTCCGTTCCCAGACACACTGGCGCCGTATTCCAGAAGCAATGAGACAAGCCAAGCTCTGCCCAGACAGGCTGCCCAAGCCAGCGCAGACTTTCCATCCGCGCTGCTTGAATTAACATCGGCGCCCATGCCTTGCAGCATGGTGACGGCGTTCCTTTCATCAGCAGCCACAGCCCAGAGCAACGGAGAGAATCCATAGTTATCAGCGGTGTTTATGTCACCACCGTGGTCAACCAAGACTTTTATGTTGGCGGTGAAGTCTCTCTCAGCAGCGTAATGTAGCGCTGTTTGGCCGTTGTCGTCACCCTGGTTCACGATAGCTCGACCGCCGGCGTTCAGGAGCAGAATCATTAAATCAGGACCACGGAACAGTTCCATAGAAGCATAGTGCAACGCTGTTCTGCCAGCATTGTCTCTACTGCCCAAATTCACGCCTTCAGAGATCAGGGACTCAACCAAGTGCACGTCGCTGGCCTGCACCGCGTGGTGAAGCTTAGTCATTCCCGCGTCGTCTTTATCCTCCAAGTCGAGTACTGTTACCGATGCATTAATGTCCTCTGTGTGCTGGTCCCAAGTGTCATCTGTAGCCCCAGGGTCGTCCCGGAAACTTAAATCACCATCGTCCAGTATACTGTACATGGATTCACGCCGGTTTACAAGTCCCGGCCCATCATCTTTTAATGGCTGGTCACTATCGACATTTTCAGAGATTTCGTCCCCATCGCTAGGTAGTTTTTGCAACGTAAGCAAAGCGATTTCTTTAATGTGAGCGGCAACATGTAACTGGAGAGCTTCGCTCAAGAAGACGGCATTGGATTCGACTTCTTCTGGGGGTTGGAAATCGTCGCCAAAGGGGCATTCCAACACCTTATCGAGATTAGGTCTCCGTGCTGCGTTGCTGAGAACCCCAGCATGCGTTTCAGGCACGCCGTGCTCTTGGATGGAATGCTGCTGGTACTTGATCTCCTGATCAAAGGTGATTGGGTTGTGGGAAGGAGCCCTGCACTCCCACGTATGCCCATGAGCGTTCTGCATGTGGCTGATCCATGCTTTTGACGATTCAAACGTCAGCGGGCTGGTCCCGTGTTGACCCGTTTCCAAGCATGCCGAGAAAACACAAATGAAGGGTTCCAGATCTCCGATAACATGATTGCTAGGGCAGATTAGTTACTGCAATATCCAAAAAAACATAAGCCATTCAGGCCTACTTACTTCCATAACTTTATATTCTTAAATTCAATAATGACGCCGCAGTATGGACATTCTTGTGTTGGTGGTAGCGGAGGGAATGACAAATTGTTGTTGACCAAAGCAGATTTAGCTCGAGGGACCTCAGTTGTGGACTTGGCATAAAAGGCTCCAACAGCAGTTTGTCGAGCAGTGGTTGCGTTCGTCACTGGCACTGGAGGCGGACCAGCCCGACCGGATACTTTGTTGGCGGTCGCAGGCTTTGATAGCACGCTCGGAGCAAAACGTATAGCCGGAGCACTCTCTTTGGGTTTGGGCATTTGAACAACCAGGGGGCCAGTCTGGGGATTCTGAACACTCAATTCGATGTGCCTCCGATGGGATCGCTGATAATACAGTCGTCGAAGTCGGAGCGCATTGGCTTCGACCAATGCGGTGAGAAGCGATTCCGGCGCCATCGGATACCGAAAACGAATGTAGCATTCTGTGTAGAGACGCATTTCGCCAATAGCAGTATTTGCCTCTTCATTGTCTATATATCTCTCAATTTTGCGAGCCCGGTTAGCTTTTGCGGACTTTCGAACGGCATTAGATAGGCGAAAGAGCCGTGACACTGTTCCGCCGATTGTATCAGTGATTTTGGAAACGTTTTCTTCAACTTGATCCTCATAACTATCCTCGTCGCTTTCGTCGTCGACGTCCCTCCTCGATACTTCCGAATTGCTGTATTGTGATATGCGCTGTCTTTTCCTGCTGGGAGATTTCGGTGGTTCGTTAACTGGCTTCACTGTTGTCGAGATTCTCATTAGCATAGAATTCTTGACGTTTAGTCTATCCGAACTCGGTGCGACAAGTACTTACAGGATGCCAAAGTATCACAGATGACGTCCAGGAGCTGATGTATGATATCTACAACTGTGGGACTGAATCGGAGTCTGTAGTCCAACGAAACATTGAGCGGTCCGTAGACGTCCATGTTTGATGCCCACAGTGTAAAGCGCGCCAGCTGATCATCTATGATTGTAGGATCTGGCACGATTTCTGGCAGAACCATGTATTTGCGGAAAAGAGAATTGCACTGCACTGCGTGCTCTGCAATGGTCGGGCAAAGTCCCTCTTGGAGGAAGACATCTTCCACCAAATCATCTTCCATGCGATCCAGGCTTGCCATGGCGAGAGGTTGCGGTCCAGGCGGTCGGCAAGTGGTTGCGAGTGCGCCCAAGACCTAGGCAGCTGATTCTCGTCTTTCTGCGAAGAAAGAGGCTCCTCAAGGTCGTGGGCATGCGGATTGAGACCAAATACGTCGCATGGACCTCTTGTGGTGTCGGATAGTGCGATGAAGCATGTGGTTAGTATCCTGTTGAATTGCGGATTTATGCCCAGGCGCAGTTAATTTTGTCGGCAGCATACATCAATGTAGGCTGTGCGGCAATTGGCTACATGTACGTAGATGTAGCGGCACAAACATGAAAGATGCAAGTTAGCACCGCGGCCACCTGACACAGCGCACGTACAAGTACATGCAAGTCGAACAGCGGCTCCGCTAGACAAGCTCAAAGCCTTGTCGTTATGGCACTCGGCGAAACGAAACCAGCATGCCAGCGGCCATTCGAGATTGGCTTGAAGGCTTTGTGTAATCTCCCGCTGCTTCCTCAGTCCAACGTCCTTGGCCACCATCGTCGTTTAGAAACGCTTGCCCCGCTCACGGCCAGCGTCCGCTTGAACCCCAAAATCCTTTCGCGAGAGTTTGCAGCAACTACAAGCACTAGATGGGCAGAGCCCCTGCCCGTGCGTCAAGTCACTCACGACCCGACACGTTCGTCGTGAGGCTCTAACAATGAGAGGATCGTCATGGTGTGGTAGCAGTGTGCGCCGAGCAGGGGAGTCTGTGTGACAGGGTCCTAGAGCTCGGAGGTGCATTTCCGTTCCACGCTGTTTTGGGGGCCGAGGAGGGCGCGAATGCGACGTGTCCACCTACCAGGCCAGCATCCACAGTAATACTGTAGATACTGTAGGTCACCAGGCAGTGTCCGTGGAAACATTGCACGAGCTTGGGGCCATATTCTGACAGAAATGTACGGATACCTGTATTGGATCTAAATTTCGCGCTAAAACCGCAGTAATCCTCTAGAAACGGATACTGTAGAGCGAAAACCATTGCGCACGACCCTCAAGACTAGTCCGGGCGTTTATGCACAGTTCCTGCAGCTATAGTAGGTAGCCGCCAGTAGAAAGCAGTTGAGTAAAATGACGAATGCATCTCCATTCAATGAATTAACACAACATCGGGGAAAATTGATAATATGTACTTAAGCGCCAGCCGTACAGTATTGAAAAGCGCCTCAAGTAAAATTCGCACCTGTAATCTCACTCTTCTTTATTGCAGGCATAAGGCTTCAATTAAGTTTAGACGAAGACTACATGTAGGTACCTATAGACTACAACAAGGGCACATTGCCGAAGAACAAAGACGTCTAGTCGGTGCTATCCGCGGCCAAAGCTACATATGTGTAGTACGGATAAACAACATTAGCACGCAGTAACACCATGATTGTGTACGCAACAGCCACTAAACACCGTCTTGAGCGGCCCGGCCCTAAACGCGGAGAGGCGCGGCGATCTCTGCGTAGCGCAAAATTGGCGCTGTACACATGCAGCGTGAAGCAGCAATCCGCCAAGCGCAGCTTTCCTTCTTCTCAAGCGAAACCTGGATCTGCGAAAGCCATTCTCAGAGTAACTAAATGGTACTATCGATTGTGCCGCTCAATGGCAGTATACCAAATCTTGAAAAACAATCAAACTCCCAGTGAGCTACTAACGTACAGCGTTGGAAGTTAATTAGATCATTATTACATGCAGCCTTCTAGTCATACAAATGTCTTCTGATATCCTTGATCCTGTCATAAACCTGCTCCCTTGTCGACTTCCTGTCAAAGAGTGAATGAGGCGTGATGTAGTCATAGCCTGCCCCCCTCCTCTGTCTAACCATGCTCTTCAAAACCTCATCCATTGAATGAACGTCCTTCAGCCACGGCCCTAGCGGCAACTCGCCTCCTGGAGGCATGTGCTGTTCCTGCTGCCGGACAAAGGACAGGATAGCTGCGGCGAGCCCTGCGGCAATTGGTGTTGCAACCGATGTTCCCGACATGGCTTTGACAGGTTCATTATGGCCATTTCTGCCAATCGGCCAGTGAGAAGAGACTTGCTCTCCGAGCAGACTGAAGTTGACGTCTTTGTCGTCTGCTGTCGGGTTAAACGCCGAGGGATTGCCATTTCCATCAGTCGAGTGTATACAAAAAACACTGGGATATTTAGCCGGAAAGGCTCTGCCCAAATTTGCTCCATCGTTCGATGCCGCAGCGAACAACAATGTCTGACTGTGTAGTGCATTAGATATAGCAGTCTTCATAGGCTCGTTATATTCTCGGATTCCGAATGACATTGATATAATGTCCACTTTCCACTCATTTACCGCGTGATTAATGGCCTGGTATACAACTAATTAGCGTAGTCCCATAGATGGAAAAAGACAAAAAGTCTGCTCTGGCGTAGGGCTAGCCTTACCTTTGCAATGTCATCGTAAGTGTTACGATCCAGAGTTTCTCGATGCGCAATTCTGGCAATATAGATTTCAGCGCATGTGGCAATGTTGAGCAGTAGCCCAAGAGCATGAGTGCCGTGCCCAATCTCGTCTTGAATGTCGTGTGAGGCTGTTTGCTGTACAAAACTTTGCGCTTCTTTGATTCGAGGATCCAGCCGTTGGTCTAGAGTCTTTAGAAATGGATGTTGAGGGTCAAATCCGGAATCTAAGATTGCTATTCGCACCGGCTTGAACGTTCCGCGCGCTACCTCGACAGCATCGAAAGGGTCGACATAGTCATAAATCGAGGAGAGAAGATTATCCATCCATTGTTTTGAAAGCGGACTCCTGGCAGCTCATTAGTACAACAAAGCCTTATAACAATTAAGAAACACTTACTCTTGTTCAGAGCCCATTTGATGGCTTGCGTCAAAAAAGTGCAAGCTCTTCGTTGAAGTATCGACGAGGTGTCCGCGCAGTTGCGATATGGGCGAAGGTTTGATGGATGTGTAACTCACGGGCGCGACGTCAGATATCGAACGGTATGGAATTGCCCGTGTTCCATTATTTGTATCAGGGGGATCGACCTTGCCCGTTTGATGGCGGACAACTTCTTGGCCGATGGAACCCCAGCAGAGTTCATTCTGTCGAGGATCCATTGAGCCCAAGTTACCTATTCGAAGACCCCACGATTTGAATATCTCAGCCTCGAGTCGTTTAATGACGTTTTGATAGAAAAGTCGCTGGACATCGACGGATTCAAAGTCAGCCTGCTGTCCAGGTGGGTAGTACTCCCACTGGAGGCATGCCTTGGTAGCGAGATAGTAATCAATGCCAGCGTCGACTTCTAGAGTCTTGAGCATATCAAGGCTGGTGTAATAATCAGAATTCACGTTTCTGGGCCCATGGGGGTCTTTTGACATCAGCTCCACGGGTGTGCAATAGTGAAGCTCGCACAAGAGTATGCCCAGCGCTAGTACAGTGGCGTTGGGATGAACCATGTGTTTAGAACTGTCGGAAGTGGCTCCGTTGCCTGACTTGCGGGCAGAGATGATGGGAATGTGTTCCATGGCCAGAAAAGGCTTCGTAATGTCGGGGAGTTCTCCGTCCTGTAGCGGATCAACGAACAGAATATTTGAGTGGTTGAATGAAGGCTGCAGCCATGGGGTCTCCAAGAATGGGAGAAGCGCAGTGGCCAGTATAACAGCCAGAATTCGCTTCCCTTTAAGTGGCAGGGCAGATGAACTGCCGCGTAATTCTTGTTGACGCTTAAATAGAGCTGTCAAGGATACCGTTCGAGACATTTGATCACCGCCAAACGTCTTTGGCTGCGGACGAAGCCTCTGAAAGGTCCCACCCTCGAGAGCAAAGTGCAAGCAATTTCGCTGGCCCAGGGACTCTGTGATGCTTTGACATATGTGGGCAAAATCAGGTGCGGCGCTAACTACGGGTTCGGATGCGCTCCTCATCCTGCTGTTCTGTACGTCTCTACCGCGAAAAGCGTCAGTGTAATCCATTGGGCGAAGCTTCATAAAGCTTACTTGATCGTAATTTTAGCTTCTTGCAACGTGGTTTCAGCTGGAGACCGTACGCCAAAAAACACTTCGAAGCTTGTCTCAACGTTGAAATCCTTATTGTGTTGTGGTAGTGAAAGTCGGACGCTCAACCCTGAGCACTTCTGGCAAACACATACCCACTGCTTCCGTAACGCATTGTCCAAGGACGCAAGATGTCTCCTCATCAGCACGGCAAAGTCGGCATCGGGGTCGTCGAGACTGTCACCAGCACTTGGCTCTTCACGATGTATGATCCTGCGCTTCTTTGCCTCCATGTCCCAGTGCGAAAGTTCGTCGATGAGGGCCTCACTTGTTCGTTTCCGTTTACTAACACGGATGACAGTGCTTGGATTAGAATGCGAACCGTAACGTCGACGCTCTATCTTGCTGCGCATTGCCTGAAGCTTAGGATATGGGACATCATGGCGCAAGCCCTGCTTCGTGTCAGCGGGCATGAGGCGAGAGGCCGAAAGGCTGGAGCTTGCCTTATATCAGGAGCACTTACGGAATCTGATTCCCCATCAGAGTTGTATTCAACATACTCTTCAAATGCGCGCAGCGTCCTAGCAGTACGCTCGGGGTCCGGCTCGTCAGATTCATCGGCATCCTGCTGTAGAAATGCCTCCGTCCGTAACCAAGCTTCGTTTTTCCGTGATTCCAACGACGCGGGCTGCGCTGACCTTTCCGGTCGTCTTCCAACGAAATATCCAAGCCAGGTCTTTAACAGGCCCTGAGAATCATCCACATCCATGACTGTACACTCGATAATGGTGGATTTGGAGATTTTACCAAGACACAAAGCAGGTGTGCTGGGTAAGGCTGTGAGACATGCTGTAGGTGCCGCGCCTTGGTCGATCAGAGGAAGCCCGTTGAGTAATCGTAATGATGAAATCCTTCCACTACATCGGGCTGTGCTAACCTACCACTGGGTGCAAAATACATACATGCATACATGTGCCCACAGCCGGGTGGGCTCAGTATGAGGATTCTCCCAGCCGCCGGATACCTACATGAATACAGCCCACGCCTTCTGACAAGTCAGGTTACTCGGTCGTTCGACTGTAAGCAGTAAGAGGCGAATTGTGGATATGAATAGTACTTGTACATACATGTAAATAGCAAGCAGTACACTGCAGGGGACCGACCCAACAAGCGAATCACCACTGTCGTAGATGGCAAGCTCCCAAGGCAGTCAGCCCTCCATCTCAAGCTGAGGCGGCAACAGGTGGGGGCCATACATGTAGCATCCAGCTTGCGTGTGATCCAGGCGCGTATGCAAGCTCCCTGTCCCCTGTTAAAGCGGCGCGAGAGAAAAAAAAAGACAGGGATCGCAAAAGGAACATACACATATGATTTGGAAATACGGGCACTATTTCGCCAGTGAAATAGTGGATAATAGCGTCATTACAGTATCCGAGGCCGAGAGTTGTGTGCTGATCGTTTGCAAGTTCCAGCCCTATTTCTCACACCCCTTGCTCGCTGTGCTTGGCCTCCCAATGGCCTTCGTTGGCAGTGCAGTCAAAGACAGCACGGATACGAAAGTGGTAGGTACTGTGTACATCGGTAATGATTGGCTTTTCTTGACTGGAATAAATGATCAAAAGCGCTCTCTCGCTGCGCTGAAACACGTCGACAATCCCCTTGTTGCGAGCCTCGCGCGTTTGTCCCTCACCATTGCATCCGCATCTCCATCTACTCTGGCGGCAATTATCCATTGCCCTGTCTTTCATCTAGCAGTAAATTCCCTGCTATCGGCACCCTTCGCTTCGTCTCTATTGTCATCGTCTCCTCCTGTGCCACATCGTCAGTTTGCGCGGCTCAGACATCTCGGGAGAAAACCATGTCACAAGTAGAACTCAAGAAACGGCAGGTGTCGAAAGTCAGCATGAGCACGACGAACGAACCCATGGACCACATGCAGCCAAAAGCCAGCAAAACACAAACCGTAACGTGGCAGGAGATTGCAGAATGGCAGTTTGACAACAAGTATATCCTCAGAGGATACCGACCAGAGAAGGCAGACTATCTTGCGGTTTTTACTAGCCTTACATTCTTACACAACGAAACCTGCAACGTATACACTCATCTAATCGGCGCTTTGCTTCTGCCTCTCATTTCGCCTATTTTCCTACGGTTCCTTGCAGACCCTCGGTTTTTCAACGTGTCGTCCATGGACTATGCCATGTTCAACGTCTACTTCTGGTGCGCGGAGACCTGCCTGGTCTTAAGCGCACTCTATCACCTGATGCAACCCCATTCGCATTCTGTAGAACAGTTCTGGCATGGAATGGATCTTCTTGGTATTGTTATTGTGACTGTGGGCACATTCTCTTCCGGCATCTACTATGTGTTCTTTTGCGAAGCAAGCTTGCAAAAGCTGCACTGGTCTATTGTTAGTCTCTCCAAGCCGACCATCAGCGCTCTCTCCTACCCTTCTGGCAACCGATTAAGCAATTCCACTGGCTCATACACTGACACGGAGTTCCAGATCTTGACCACAGGCACTATTACAGGTGTCCTCATCTCGCATCCGCTGCTTAAAACGTCTCGCTGGCGGAATGTAAAGGCGGGTGCCTTTGTTGTTTTTGGCTCTTCGTCTTTTATACCATTGCTACATGGAGTCCAGCGATATGGGCTTACATACATGCTCCAATACTCGGGGATGAAATGGTATTTACTCGAGCTTACCTTCTATGGCACTGGAGTCACTCTATACGCGGTATGTCTGGCACGCTCATCTCGGCGCGTGTCTCCATTCTCTCAGAAATGAGAAATCATTCTAACAAAGTCTCTACAGTTTCGAATTCCAGAGCGTTTATCGCCAGGTACATTTGACATCTGGGGAAGCTCGCACCAGATCTTTCACATTGCCATTTTATGCGCAATGTACACACACGTAACTGCTCTGTTGCAAGGCTTCACAACCTGTCATACACTAGATGTGTGCTCGCTTCAAGGTGTTCATTGAGCAAGTTGAGGCTATATAGAAGACTGATGTGTACAAATATGGTTCTGACTCGGTTTGAGCCAGTAGCAAAGATTTGCATGGACGTTCCTTATTAAATCTATGGATACTCAGGATAGACTAGGTGTTCTAGCTAGAATCTCGATTTGATTTCACAGCGATTCCGTCTACTCTGATCTTTTCTCGAAGCAGTCATCACCCTACTTAGCTTGAGATAGCAGAGCAGTAACCCGCTTCAAATGGTACTTTAGCTGCCTACGTTAGCCCCATCCATCAAAATGTCTTTACAGTCGTCGAAATCGAGTGTCTAAAGAGGGGTGACTGTCTTGAAGAATTTACCACTAGTATGAGATGCTTCCTTGTATGTTCCTGTTTGGGGCTTCACAGATATAAATTTCTAAGGTCGACATCTACTTGAGCTAGTTACTCTTCAAGTGACAATCAACGCCATTTTTTTTTAGGTCATTTTACTCAATTACCAGTCAAATATTGTATAATTTATATATTCTGCTTACTCTAAGTCTACCATCAGCCTCTCGAAAACGTGCCTCGTGTCTGGATAATCCTCTCGATGAGACGCCCTGGGAGTTGTTTGATCGTCGCTACTTCATCCTTCAATATTCTCTCGCTAGTCGCAAGAAAACGATCCCGAAAATCTTCCCACAGCTTCTGGTCAGAGGCGTTTGAGCTGCCCGGTCGTGGGTAAAAAGGGTCATTGCGCCAGAAGCATCTGCAGGCATTTTCAATGCCGCTTTCGTCCAGAGTCATGTCGTTGCAACAGTCAAAATCCAAGATCCATATGGCAAGAGGACCCAGAACGTCCGAATCAATAATATGAAGAGAGTTCATATCGGGCGGGTCATTTGATCGAGGCTGAGCAAGAACGAACTCTACATCGTTTGCATCAACCTTGGCTATCCAGTAAAGAAATGCAAGCGCATCGGCCATGGATATAGCATAGCTATGAGGTGTGAGCCCGATACTTTCCATTTGGTCAATATGGAGTGGAAAGTTGCGTAGACTGTACGCTCGGAGGCGCCGAGGTCTTTCGGACTCAGCCTGGAATCTGCGACGGCCAAGGTAGGGGCGGATTAGGCAGTGTTTGTTTGTCTGGGTGTCCAAAATCTTGTCGGTATCCACGCCGGGAATAAAGTTGTTTATAATCATTCGGCGAAATGGTAGGCTGACGGGCATTATTTTCTCGCTGATTATGGCTTTGCATGGTGCATAATCGGCAGGGAGTCGGGGGAGGATATCAGCCCACTCGGGGGCGTTCTCGTCGATGAAAGCTTCGGATTCGGGAATATTGAACAAAATGCCTGAAACGCCAAAGATTGCCGATATCTGAGTAGTGTCAAGAGATTTAAGACACTCCAACAACCGTTTATGGACGCGATATTCGTTGGTGATTGATCTTCCGGGGCCGCCATCTTCTCGTTTCATAGCCAATTGTCGATCTGAGTTCGGTCGGCCATCTTTTTCTACTTCTCCCCAAACAGTACCGCAAAATCCTTGCCCAATTCTTTCGAGCTGTGATGTGCTATTGTGCACGGTAAGTTGGCAGATTGTATCTTCCAGCATGTTTGTCGCTTGTATGCTCTCTTTCTTTTGTGATGATGTATTCGGATGATGTTTAGATTGCGGGTACTCATGGATTATATGTACGCGTTGTTATTTTTGTGGCTTGTGTTGGCATTCGCTTAAAGTTAGATAACGCCGATATACTCGGCTCCATTCAAAGCAGAGGGCAGTAAGCTCGGAAGTAGCATACTAAGGGAAGTTAAAGCTGTGTTTGTTGTAGTTTACGAGCTCAGCTACATGGGATTAAACTCGCATCCAGTCCTGCAATCTTTGCTCTATATATAGTAGTTCTTGCTCTGACGATAGCAACAATAGGGGTACATTATACTCGGAGAGAATGCAGCGCTTCAAACCATCAACATACATGTATTCAGGAAATTGTCAAGACGTCATGAAGTGCATAGTGGCGGGAAGCGCACCGGCCCGCTCGGTATTAGCTCCCGATACCAAACTGGCGGATACATGTACATGTAAGTTGGTGGCCTTGACAACGGTAGAGTACATGTACATGTATTGGGCTTGTTTTGAGTGCTCGGCGTTCTGTCAAACAACTTCAAAGACAGACTCGCAAAAGCCTCCTCCGTCCAGCATATCTACGCTCTCCCCATTCATGAACCCGTGTATGTAACACTCCCCAACAAGCAAATAATACTGAGAGCCCAGACAGGGACGGAGACAAAACGGCAGCTTCCCTCCAAATAGCACGCAGATAATGTCGCCCTTCTCCATGGCCTGCGGTCCCATTACATAGTACCCCCTAGTTGTCCGGGCAAACCTTCGATTTGTTGATGCACCAGTCGCCGCACGACTCCACTTCTGCGTGTCTCCCTTTTCAGCCAGACAGCAGAGCTCGGGAGAGATGGCCGCGTTATCGACGGTTCTGGCGAGATAGGCAGCGGCATGTGCAAGCCATGTCTCAATAGGCACGGCACCGTAGCTCTCGGTGGCGTGGTTCTGCCAGTAAATGGCCATGCAGCCGTTGCTCAGCGTTTGGGCATAGGCAAAGAAGCTGCTTTCTTCTCCGTCGGCGTACTTGTCGCTGAGACGAAAGCCGTTTGTGTTTCCACAAATGTCCGTCCAAAGAGACTCGACGGCGGGCCGCGTGGTGGAGTTTTCCTCATCGCCTTTCCTCTCATGAAACGCCCCCTTTTCCAGCGGATCAGAGCAGTCCTCAATCGAGTCGATTCTTATGCCATGAATGCTAAGCACATTTGGAGCTGATGGGCTGATGCTCAGATCCGGTTTCTTTGAGCCGCTGGCACGGTGAGGAGTAGTGGGCTCTGACATTATGTGTCCGTGGCGAGCTCTCCAGTCTGGTACCCACGATGGCAGCTTCGCCTGTCGCTTCCGTGAAGTTTCGGCTGAGGAGGGGAGTCTAGTGTGCTGGACGGCCGCTAGAGTAATGAGAGACTCAGCATCTCCGATGAGCGCCCTTTTGGCAACATCGGCATAGACTTCCTCAACCGATTTACTATAGTCGGCTTCCAACTCTTTCAACTGGCTGTTATGGCCCTTGCGGATGGAGTAGTGGCCAAGCATGGCAAATACCCGATCTCGGGGATCCGTGACATTCATGTGTCCCGCTCGATGGAGTTCGTAAATGAAGCTGAACCGATTGTCGTGCCGACTGGGTGTCTCGGGCTCGACGAAGCGGCGATAGAGGTACTTGATTTCTGACGTTGCCACCTTGAGCTTTGTTCTCATGTGGTGGTATTCTGCAAGTTCTTCACACGCGTCATGCAGTATATCCCATACAATCTCTTCTTCTCCCCAAAGCAGGGTTGCGGAACTCCTGGTGCCAATTTCTTGAACGATCCAGCCCCGTCGGAACTAATGATTGCCAGTCTCAGCATAAACATCTCAATTCGAAATACACAGCGCCGTTCTATTTTAACTTACCCATGGGAGAGCTGTTATGTGTTTAAGAGGCACCCAGTACTCAGCTGGCTGTTCTGACAAGCTGTTTATGGTAGTCAAGGCAGTGTCTTTTTTATTGTTGACGAGAATCCTAGCTAGCCTTCGTACAAAGGCGAAGGCCTCTTTCGCCGAACCTTGATCATCGAGACCAAGCCAGACCTGTACGTGGGTGCCATTTCTGTAGATCAAATTCATGAACTGCACCTGCTGCGATCTTTCTTCTTCATTGCGCTGATCGATGCACACCTGATCGGCCCATACGCGACGGAACCCGACCCGCGGTCTGAGTCGTCTCAGGGCATGGTACAGGCTGGCTGTAAGTTTGAGCCGCGCAGTGGGCAGAAATATTTCGTGCGTGAGCGTATCATCGCCCCAGACATATGATAGAGGCTCATAATCCCCCGCAGCATCAACGGCAACTAGTTCGAGCTGACCCCGAAGCGGGTCCTTGGGATTTCCGCCGTATAGCGTTAATACCCTAATCGTCTTGTTGTCGGGCAAGGGAGTGTATCTGTAAGCACGTGAGGGAGAGAAAAAGTGTAGGCAGCCCATCTTGAAACTCCTCGCAGGATGATGTACGTCATTCGGAGATGGAGGTAAAGTACAGAAACGAATCAGTGGTGCCCTTTTTATTTCTACCTGCAGTACTCATACATTCAGCAATTTACACGGCGTATATGTATGTCGGCCCAATTGCCTAGGTACATGTAATCAACAATAACAAGCCTCGTTCTACATGTGCCCCAGCCAAGCGCCGCACTTTTCACCAACGAGATCCGGCCATAAACACCCCCCTGTCCAATATTTGTATCTGATGCCTCATTTATCGTTAACGACAGCTACGTGCATCGGCTTAATTGGGCGACAATCAGCCTCGTTACATTTACGCTAAGCCGGGCGTCCTGCATCTCACCAATGAGGCCCAGCCACGGAGCAATCTCCGGTTTATTCAGCTGTGTACTCTGCATATTCAGCACAAGGCATGCTGCGTAAACAGTTTGAAGTGGTCAAATCAGATCAAGGCTTTTTTAGGAGCGTGGATGTGGAATATTTTGCCTATCTAGGTATATAAAATCCTATGATAGAAACCTGTGCTGCCTCTTGATGCCCTGCATCTATGACTGCAGTTTGTTTCAAGACCCAGACCGAACAACAAACACGTTTTAAAGCAATAAGATAGCTCTCAGTATGGGCGACATGGAGTCTAAAGTGGACAAACTGAAAGAGCTCCTGAAGGACCTAAAGGGAGTCTACGATGACGAGGTCAGCGAGTACCAAAAATGCCTGGATGCAGTCGCAGACGACCTGGACCACGTCCTAGCCCAGGAGGCCATCCGCCATCTCCCCGTGGCCCATCGAGTAAAGAGCTGGAACTCCATCGAGGGTACTGCGCAACGCCGACAGAAAGATCGACTGGCTGCCCAAACGATTCAGGAGAAGATGATAGAGCAGAAGGAGAACTGGGAACAGCACTTCGAGAGATATAAGATGAGCAAGACCAAGATTGGATATTTTCAACACCGGGACGAGCTCCAGCGCGAGTTTCACGACATGCTCGGCGCACGAATCGTGCTCTATTTCCCCAGCGACACAAAAAACGTGCTCAAGCTTGTGGAAGCTGCAGGCTACAAAAACGTCAAGGACCCGAAGCGGATGGGGGGTCTGGCAGATGTCAGGAGGCTGCGGAAGCTTGAGGCGAAATGGCTGGATGCGTCCGCGTCCAAGGCTCCGACCGATGACCTCGACCTTGAGGGCGTGGAGCAGCAATTCTCGGGCTACGGCGCTATACACCTTGCTGTGAAGATTCCCGAGCGGCTGCGTCCGCGAGATCTGGGGCCGGAGGCGGCGGCGATCTGGGAGAGGGCCGTTGTGGAATTCCAGATCGGCACCGTCATCATGCACGCCTGGGCCGAAGTCGAGCACGACATCACCTACAAATCCCACGGCCGCGAGGTGCCGCAGGACGAGAAGGCGGTTCTGGACATTCTCAACGGCCTCGCCCTTGCCAGCGAGGTCGGTCTGCGCCGCTTTCGATCGTCGCCGCAGTCGCCATCACCGCCTGCTGAGTCCTCCGAGGAACTGCAAAGTTGGCTACATCAATTCTATATCACCAAAGACCGGAGCACACCAGCCGAGTGGGTTGATCTGGACAAGCTCTGGGACTTTCTGGTTCGGCGCCACCAGAATCGGCGAGACGCCTTCCAGCACCTTGCCAAGGCCGGCTGGGTGCATCTCATGGCACACGAACGCAGAGAAGGCTTCGAGCTCGATCACGTCCTCCCCTTCATCATCATGCACCATCATCTGCCACCCAAGGCGGTCGAAGAAGGCCGTCGTCTCAAAGCAATGAGAGAGCTCGACCAGGTGCGGGCGGCGTCACGCCCGCCGGATGTGGAAGCCAGGAACAAATCCCAGCTGGTCGTGGCCAATATTTCATCACTGATCCAGAGAGTCAGCGATAAGGATCTAGCAAGAATCGAGAGGCTGGTCAAAAAATGCAAGTTGAGGCCAGACGAGGAGGGAGGCTCTTCAGGCAAAGGAGTAAGTCTTTCTCATCCATATCCGTCTGCGCGTACAATATACATGTAATGTGAATGACTACTAACTACGTGTTTAAACAGGAATATCTGGGTGTTATAAGCCTGCGTGAGTGCGAATCTCGTATTGCCGCTGATCCGACGTGGCTGAAAAAGGTACGAGAGCGTTATGACGAGTGGATCTTGGAGGAAATTCCGCCACATGGTCGCTGGGCGACGTTTTACGGAGAGTCATCCGAGTTAGGGTTTCCGATGAGGAAAATTCAGAGGCCTAGTCGAGATGAGCTGGCTATCAAGAGTCGGAGTGAACAGTTCAGCGACTGGATGGATTTGCGATGGGGCCGGTTAGGGTTATATTTGGACTATATGGCTCCAGGTATCAGTATGATGCTGGTTTTGAAGCATTACGGAGTGTTTGACTAGGAATGTCATGTGGTTATGGCAGGAATCTCAGTCAAAAAGGATTGCAGTGGAGCGGCCTTCTGAACTGGTCATTGGCCATGCCGCCTATACAATCAGATGGATTTGCGCACTGCCAAAGGAGTGAACTGCAGCGATTGCCATGTTAGACCAACAGCACACAGGACTTTTATATTCTGCCAATGATGATAACATCTATGCCTTGGGATCAATCGCTGTTGTTATTGCTTGTCTACTAAAAGGGAGATACGGCAACAATTCTGCAGCCATAATCGCGGCAAAGATGACTAGCTCCTTTCCTGCCATCAATTTCGGATTGTTAGTTGGTATCGGAGGCGGGATTCCATCCAAAGTTCGACTTGGAGCCGTGGTTAGTGCTCCACCTGACCAGTATCCAGGAGTTGTTCAATTGGATTTTGGCAAAACAGAGGGCGGTGGGAGATTTAGACGAACTGGAGCGTTAAACAGCCCGCCGAGTGCGCTTCCCGAGATCTTTGCAATACTAGAGTCAGAGCATGAGATGCAAGAACCCAAGATTCCCTGCTTCATAAGTGAAATGAGACGTATACGACCGAGACTACATCCAAAATATTTCTGGACTGCTTCCCTCAAAGACCCTTACGACAAAAGCATGGAAAGAGGGGTGGATACGTCTACTATTTCTACAATTGAGCAAGCGTCAGACGCATGCTCAACTATAGCAGAAGGGGCGAAAAGATAGGAGCGGGTGGTATCTTTCTTTCATAATACTCGAGCCACGGCTTTGTCACTATACGAAGAAGTCGCCGTGGCTGGTCGGCATCCTATCTGAATAACACAAAGCTTTGATGAAGTCGGGTTTAAAGTCAGCATTTAACCCAGCCGTAAGATGACTATTTACATGAACTAACAGGCCTCAGATAGCATAGCAGATTAGCCTTAATAAGCATCGAGCCTCATTTAGAGGCTCATCATGTTTCCCCTGTTCTGCTCCCTGAATGAGCAGTCTCGAAAAATCCATCTCGATAAATTCATCCGAGGTCCCTCAACTTACACGGTCCTATTATTTGGGTAGAGAGAAGATAAAATAAGCTTCAAAGCCTTCTAGCTACCGAAAACCCCTTGGCGCTTGTAACAAGGCTCTATGAAGAGAATTGTTGTGAATATGTCTGGCTTGATACTTGCTACATCAGCCAGATCTACGGCTCCAAGCTCTCTGAAGCTACCAATTTCATGTATTAGCGGTACGTGTCGGCTCAGAAATGCTGCTCATAATTAGATAGCCATATAGAGGACCTACGACGATGCGAATGCTTTGCCAGGGGCTGGGCCTTATAAGAGTTGATCGAACAGACCAGACTAGTGTTTTGCGATGCCAGGTGGAACGAGATGAGCTCAAACACGGCTCTTGCTTTATAATCGCCAGGTTAATAAAGATAAGGAAGGACGTTTTGAATAATGGCAAATGCTCAGGTAATAGTCTGTGTTTTGATATTCAAATGCAGGAGAGCCGCGCTGCTATCTGTAAATTTTGAATAGGTATTATTATACATATGATATTTGTATTGCTAGTTTGAAAACAAGGAAAGAGTGAGCAAAAGTGTCTTTCGATATTGTTCTAAGAGGAGCCGGAGACAAAAGTATAGATTGACAAGTATGGATATATGGCATCTAGTTATCCTTTCTAACAAGAAATTTTGGTAGCAACTTTGGTTGACTCGTATCATCCCGAATTATCAAGATTTTCCTAGATATACATTTACGCATACGCGAGTAGTTCAACGGCGACTGATGAGATTGATCTTGCATCAATTTTTTGTGCTATTCAAAGCGTCACACCGCCACCTTCGCCAATATATCGCACCGATGGTCCGTACTTACGCGTTCAATAAGTCTGTATAGTTGCCAAAAATGCAGGCCGCGTGTCAATTTCGCTTGTAATCTTCAATGGGTTTGCCAGGAGATGATATAATCATACCTTTTCTTTGTGCGTGGTGTCGTAGTCAGGGGACACGTCACATCGCCGACTTCACCGATTTCCTAGCGTCTACGACCCTTAAGAAACTAAGCCACAGTTGAATCCCAGTCATCTATACACTACATCCTCAATATATATATCATCTTCCTATCCCTTCCAACTACCAATACCTCAATCTCTACAAATCCGACTTTAATACAATCTTTTACAGCCATCTCAGCACATCAGCAATATCTTTAAAACGCAACCCAATCATGTCTACCAACTCAAACACGATTTCGTCAATTGGCCTCCTGTGCCTGGCTCTTCCTCTGCTCAGTTTGCCTGGTTCAGCACGGGCAACTCCCTCTCCATTAGGCCCAAAGGGGCTTAATTGGGTGCTCCCTTTTGTGGGCGACTGGAACTGCTATCAGCAAGGCGAAGAAAACGGGAGCGGTGGAGGTGGTAGCGGCACCGGCGCAAACCTCACGTATTCCATCAAGATGACCAAGAATAACGTGACCCTGGACTCCAACCAACCGAGTCCGTTGCTCACAGCCCACTCCGTCATCACTTACGACGCCGACAAGGAAATCTTCAACTACACTTACAGTGACAGTGGAGGCAACAGCGGACCCGGCACATCGGTTGGTTGGGAGGAGGGGGGTCACTTCCGATTCATCACCTGGCCCCTGACCAATCCTGGCAGACCGGGCATCCAGGCTCGAACAATGGATGATTTCCTGCGTCCTACCAGCGCTGATCAATTTACCGACAAGTTCTACGCCAGCCAAGATGGCGGCAACACCTGGTTGCCAGCAGGCCAGCTCGACTGCACCCGTGCCCCCAGCTCCCACTAAGGAGACAACCCGTTGCACAAGCTTTCAATTTGGTGAAAGATGAGGCTTGACCTCACTAGAGGCAAATTACTTTGCCAGCCATCACGATATTCCCGATGTTGACAATACGATGCTCGGTTATAGACTCTACAACGCTTCATATCGCTACTAAACAAAGATTCATTATGGGAATTGTTCATATGCAATAATAGCTTGCTGTAGTTAGATCTTCTTTCTGTTCATGTCTTTCTTTTACAATTTTGTTTTGAGTTTTAATACATTTCATTCCACATATAACTCTTCGTGCAGTAAAAGTTCCTAATAGTGCATGAAACTGTCTTTCTGGCTCGCTCTCTTTATAATTGTAGAAGCACTGAGGACCTGTACAAGCGAGACGACGGCTAGAACGATGAAATTAAACTCAGATGTCTGTCTAAGCGCATGATGCAACGTAAGTTATCACGTCTCTAAATAGTATCAATGGTAGCACTGCTTTGTCAATGGGGCGGAGATGAAACTACAATCCACCCTTCATCGCTCATCCGTTACCATTCACTTCTTCTGAGGTTGCGAAAGCCGCAGGCAGTGCAGACAAAATCAGCCTTACATACATGAAACATGCATGCCTTACCCCCAAAGTGTGGAGAATACGAGAGAGATTACTGGATTGGGTTATTGTGAGTTTCCCTTTTTCGCCTTCTCCACATAGCCGAGAGCCGAGCTCTAAATGGAGTGTTGGTGTAGTAAACGACTACATAATCCTTCCAACACGAAACGAAGCCTTCTCTCTCTCCTCTGCGACCTGCGATAGTTACTGAGAGTAGTCATATACCTCCTTAGTAGAACATAATATTGAGGAGGTATTTTCAAGGCATTTTCAACTGCCTCCTCTGTTTAAAACCACTGATGAAGAATTCCGCCGCTAATGAAAAGCACTTTAGGTGTAGCGAGTGATGCATTGCGTTTATGTGTTCTGTAGATTGGCTAACCTAGCAGCCTACAGCTTTTATTTACCCAAGATCTGGAGCTTCATGTTTTGAACACGTCTAAAATTACGTCAATGACCTAATTAAACAGTATACCCGATCAGTTACTCTCCAGATGCGCCACATGCTGTACATCTGGCCTGAATTGTTCCTCGACCTTTGCATTGACAGCCAGTTATCACGATCGACCGAATGGCCTAGCACAAGTCAGTGGATGATGAAACTCGCGACTATATTGCCGTTGGGTGATGCGGAACTATAGTACATGGGCATTCAGTCGGTTCCTCGTGCTACTCACAATAAGAAAAATTTTTTGCACAGTTATCTACAAAGCAACCTCGGCATGCGCTCGCAGCCAAGGTCGGCAAGGATGAGCTCGACGAAGACGCCATCCCGCAAATCCAGGATATGGTGTCATTTGCGCCGGGCTGATCACTATTAATGAAGAGAGCAATATTCTCAAACTGGTACACTACACAACGCGGGAGTGTTTTGAGAGAAAGAAAAATGATTGGTTCTCTGATATAGAGGCTATGATTGCGGAAACTTGCATTTCCTATCCTTCTTTCAAGACCTTTGGCGAACATCATTTAATGATCCTACTCACAGATACCTGCGTTCTCACGCTTTATACAAGTATGCCAGCCAGTACTGGGGTGACCACGCACATATTGTCTGAGAAAAAACTGGATAAAGCTATCCTAGAATTCCTCATGAGCGGTGCCAAAGCATCCAACGCATTCTACGTAGCGCTGAGGCGCTCTTCTCATCGAAATGTTGAACGCACCTTTGGTCTACAGGCGAAGAAACAGGGCCTTTACAATTGCATACCAATGTCGGGTATGCATCGTGCCGTACTATTTGCACTCGATGAAGCAATCCATTTACTACTCAGAACCCGATATTCCATTAACAAAAATGAAGGAGTCGCTGTACCGTCACCGTTCCTAGCCATGTAATGGAGAAATTTGCATATTGCATGGATATTACTTGACAGTGGAGATCATATGAGTTTTAAAGCGTGCCACTGCTAGAAGAGGGCGTCAACATTGAAGCTTCAAACCGCCGCGGCGAAACATCCTCGCACTGGGCCGCTTGGGATGCAAATGTGGCAGTCATTAATTTCTTACTGGAAAAAGGCGCCAACATTGAGGTTCGAGACTGTAATGGCCAGACGCCACTACTTTCGCAGTCTTGTCTGATCATCCTGCCCAACGTGACCACAAGACGGCTTCTAGCGTGCTTCTCAAGAACGGAGCCAATATCGAAGCGGTTGATAGCAAAGGCTGCACGCCACTATTATATGCTGTGCAGAATTATGTACGAGATAGATCTAACCGAACAAGGACAGTTTATGGTCGGGATGAAATACAGCTATTACTTGACGAAGGGGCCAATGTCAACACTGCAGATAAGAAGGGGCGGACGCCACTCTCATATGAGCTGATGGAGCGTTACAATGAAAGGAAAGAGATTCTCGACCCAGAAAATGCGACGGACTATCATAGAGAGAGAGTAGTAGTTCAAAAGGTATAAGCCAATGTCAGTTGAGAATGAAAGCCAAATATAAGATATGCCTGATATGATGCTAGCTTTCAATGGCCTATGTTTAGAGTGTCCATCGAAAGTGCTAAGGTTGGAGGGAGCTAACGGACGTAAAAAAGAGACAAAAAAAACAGTGGACAGATGATGTGAAAAGCATATAATGAGCCGTATGTATATATATGTTGCAGTTCGCGTATTACATACATGAATATGAACGCGAAAGAAAAGACAAAAATACGAAAGACAAGACAAAAACACGAAAGAAAAGACAAAAACACGAAAGAAAAAAGTCAAAAACACGAAAGAAAAAAGAGACCATAGCGCCAAACGCCCGCCTTTGTCCAAAGGATGTGCGCCCTAGGGGGGGGTCGAACCCCCAACCTTGCGGTTAAAAGCCGCACGCTCTAGCCAATTGAGCTACCAGG